AGTGTTCATAAAGCTGTGCCAGGGGACTTGCAATGACCCCAGCGAGTTCCTTCAGGACTCTAGGGTAAAGATCATCTGGGCCGGCTGACTTAAAAATGTCCAGCCCCTCCAGAAGCTCCCTAACTAAATCCTCACTCACTCTAGGCCCAGGTGAGCCTCCCCCGGGGCCCAAAGATTTCTTCACAGGAATCTTTTTATCACTATGGCAAACAATATTTTAAAATGCTTTTTTCAGTGAGTGGGCTACAGGGACGGCCACAGGGAAAAATGTGTGATTTTTTACTAAGGAAACAAGGGATTAACAGGTGATTCGTAACTGGCCACTGACCATACATGCATTTCCTTTCAGTATCAATAATAAAGATTAAAATATATTAGAATTGTTTGGTATGTGAAGGGTCTGGGCTTGCTTATGAAAGGTGGCTGGCATTCTAAGTAGGTACATTAATCAGACCGTAATTAGAGCTAATTGGGAAATGTATTCTATTCATTAAGAATTTTTTTTTCAGTTTTTTTGTGTGATTAAAAAATTTAGATTTTTGAAACCTTAGAAATGTTCAGATTCTTTTACCAAAACAATTAAATGGAAACACACGCAAAAAAATTCTTAAAAAAAATATTCAGCAAGCTGTAAAAATGTTGTTAAAAAGCCCCATATAGCGTAGCTTTATCATTTTACTGGGTTATCACCTTTAATTCCAATTATTTTTTTTGAACAACGGACTCATTTCTTAGAGGGCGTAAAACATCACAGCTTTATGAGGTAATCAGATTATACTGGCTGCAATAAACATAATGTTGAACTAAATAACTTCCGGTTGTATACAGGCGATCTGATCCTGTTTCGGCTGAGATTGGTGAAAATTTTTGCCATCACCCTTGTTGGAAGTAGGATTAAAACTGTAGGTCCTTGACTAAAGCAGATATGGACCTAATGCATTCAGATACAAAGAGGGTTTTGATTTAGGCAAGGGTTTTGAGTTCCCATTTACGGCTGAATTTTAGGCCAGGGCTTGGAACAGAAGGCACTGGACTTTTATAAGATTAGCTTGAGATTTTGGCTTTGTTCTTGGCCCCGATCTACTGGTAAAAACCTCATGAAACCAGGTGTTCTACATTTGCTTCTATCCTACTGCTTCTTAGTCAGTGCCTTCTGTGGTTTGGGGTTTTGCTTAGCTCAAAAAATAGGAGGCAAAACCAGCATTTTTCTATAATATGAATTATTTCAACTTTTATATTTATGTTTGTATCTTCATGGACTTTTAAATATGCTAAAAAGTGCTTTTCAGAGCCAAAACTAATATTTTATTTCCCATTTACCTATGCTAGAATATCCAGCCTTATTTTGTTTCAGTCACACAAATGGCTTACTAAGACATTCAGAAAAGTTGCCCAAGAATAAAAAAAAGATGCAAATCTGTAAAACACAGAACCTGGATTATTAGACTCTTAATATGTTGCTGTATAAAATAAACCTAGTTAACATCTATACCAGACATTACTGTAGAAAAGTAGGGCCAGATGGGACTTTCAGAGTCCATCTAGTCCAAAATCCTGGTAGAGGCAGGATCATCCTTATCCAAACCATCCCATATACATCCATTGTCTAACCCACTGGTTCTCAGATATTTTAGGCTCAAGGCACCCTTCACTGGACTTGAGTCAAGACACTCCTCCATATCTTTTATATGCTGAGTGCCAGCCAGTTTTAAAAAATGAATATTTATATTACAGTGCTGGCTTCCTTGCATTTGGGTTGGGCTGTAAGGGTGAGGAATCATTCAGGCAGGGACAAGTTTGAGACTGCCTTGATCTATGTAGTGTATGTCAGGGTTTGGCCACATTTTTGGGCAGAGTCCCAAAAACACCTGCAACTTTGACCTGTAAGATGTTGGCTTGCCAGGACTGGACAGCAGGGGAGCCACAAGGGACCTGATCCTTGTTGTGGCTGTGAAGCCCTGGCCCCTTCCCTTCCACCTGCCCCAAAGTGCACATGCCAAGCAAAATGCCTTTGCATGCCACACTCTGGCACTCATGCAGGGGGCTGCCTACCCCTGATATATGTGCTTACCTCCTCACATCTTCCTTATCAACTGATATCTCATGGCACCATTCAAAGGATCTGGTGGTACTCTAGAGCTCCCCGATACCCCAGTTGAGAATCACTGGTCTAACCTATTAGTAGAACTACACAATCAACCCTGACACAATCACAAGGCATAACACCCTAACCTCCCATGGGTAAGACAGAAGGACAACCATAGCTGTCACTGATTTCCTTCCCCCCAACACACACAGGCTGAGCATTTGGAGAAGAGCTAAGGCCTCTATATTAGAGGGCTTGGCCTGGAGTGACAGCACTTATGTGACAGAGATGGAAAAGAGCAGGTTAACAGTTGCCTTACCTGGACAAGTAGACATCTTTTTCCTCTTCAAAGCGTTTGCAGACATCTTGGTCCTCTATAAACTGTCTGACTTGAGGTGACAAGCCTGTGGGTTTGTCATCATTTTCTGACATAAATATACATTTAATTCTTTCAAGCACAGGCTTTTCACAGCAGTTTTGAATTTTACTTGAGATGGTATCTTGGTGGGAACATACGTAGGATGTAAACTCTGCCTGTAAAAAGTAAAAAAAAATGGTTATTTTTAAATGAATTTCCTTCTTTCTTGATCCCCAATACAGGAATCAGCTCATTGTTCTAGTTTTTGATGCAGTAGAAACTAGATACCTCTTACTAAAATCAGAGCTCTGGCAACATATAGCTAAGAGCTCTTGCCTATTATTTCATTTGTATATATTAAGCTTTGTTTATGGGGGGCATTATTTTGAGATCAAGAGTATTATCCATGTTTTAGAGAAAACTGACATGCATGGAAGTGATATACTTGCTTGAAGCCACAAGGTAGGCTCATGGCAGAATTGGAGACAAGACCCAAGTCTTGAACTTAATGCTCTACCCACTGCATCCCACTGATCTAGACACTCTATTCAGGACTCTCAAGCTTATATTGACAACATTTTATAGCAGCAGGACACCAGCTGACCTAGTTCCCCTGCTTTACCTGTGTCAGGTTAGCTTGTTAGATCTATGTTGTGTCAGGTTTGAGGGCAGTCTTATGTAGAATGTAGATTATGGTTGTAGGGGGTGTTTTGGAGGAGGATCGTTCTGCCTCAGGACTAGATGACCTCTGGAGGTCCCTTCCAGCCCTACTTCTCTATGACTCTATAACAGGGGTGGGCAATTATTTTGGGTGAAGAGCTGCTTACTGAGTTTTGGCAAGCCATCATGGGCCACATAACAGGCAGCCAGGAGCAAATAAATATTAATTTTCTAAATTTTTCTAGGGGCCCCTGTGGGCCAGATAGAATGGCCTGGAGTGCCGCATCTGGCCCGCGGGCTACATTTTGCCTGCCCCTGCTCTATGACAAAAGGTGCGTATCATGGCACCTGGTCTACCATCACACAGCTTTCTTTAAGCTGCATGATTGTAGACCAGGAGCAGCATGTGAAGATGCCCACCAGAGCTATGCTGGGCCCCTGGTATAAGTAACTCAGTGCACGTAGGATTGTGGTGGGGGGTGGACTAACAGGTCCCTGGAAGAGGGTTAGCAGGTCTGGGGGAGATTGGAAAGATTGCGGGGGGGGGGTTGTTGGGTTCACAGGGGAGGTTGTCCCAGGGCTGGGGGCCGGGGGCAAAAAAGAGCCCAGTCAGGGTGCAGGGTATAAGTAGTCCCAGGACTGGAGCAAGTGACTAGGCTCTCCCAGCCTCAGGGCTGTGCTCTGAATGTGTACAAATGTTCATTAGACTGGGCTAACCCATTCCTGATCTAAGTTAGTTCACCTACTCAGGTATATTAAATTAGATGGGGCCTGCCATTTGTGGCCCATTTTAAGCCCCCAGAACATCTGCACAGGTTAGCATTTAAATGGACCTAACCTTAGTTAGGTTGATCTAAGGGTAACATCTGTACATACCTGAAGTAGGAGATAGTTCCTGGCCAGACGAGTAGACAGACAGCCAAACAGGGGCAAAAATGGATGCAAAGAGCTAGCAGAAGATAGGGAACAACCACAGACTAAAGGATTTGCCTAAGATTACATGGGACATCTATGACATACCCAGGAACTAAACTCAGCTCTCCCAGTTCCAGAATCAATTGGATCATCCTCAGCTACAGGATCATGTTTGTCCTATGCTTCCTGTTTATTTCACTGCAGAAAGGGCCAAATTAGAACAACCCACCAACTCCTAGATTGCATGTATTTTAATTGATTGATTAATTAAATTCACAATTTGGAGAGCAAAAGGGAACAAAAATCAGAAGGGAGAGGAATGCCAGGCAGGAGATCTGCGTTTTCAATCATAACATCTTCAGATGAGTTTTATTTTTTTACCCTGTCATGCATACAAGCCAGCATGTCTCCTTGACAACATTGCTTGTGTATCTCCACCATGTCCACTGTAATTTTCATCGTGGTGTTAAATTCAGCCTTAGGAAATTTCTGGCTGAAAAAAGCAAGCGTCCTAAAAAGGAACAAACAGCAGGATTTTTTAAAACTCAGAACACAAAGCTATAATCTGCAGCAGTTCATTATCTGTGGGATTTTCCAAGCTGTTCAGCAGTACCAGTGGCCTCTTTCTACTCTGACTGAAATTATTGATAACATTTCCATAGAAGTGAATGGTTGGATTTTCAGAGTTCAGTGCCCAACTCCAGCTGAAATTAAAAGGGCTGGATCCTACCCCACCCATTAGGTATGTAAATAGATTTAGATGCCAAATTACAATGCTATTCCACCCTATTTATGTCCCTGAAATACTGTTAATATAAAAGGTGGCTGGGATTTCCTTCTCCTCACTGCTTTTTGTGACTTAGTTTAAGCCTAAATTGGCTATGCTACAATAGTAGATGCATAATTGGATTTTCAGGAACTGGCATGGGGTAGAAAAGAATCACATTTAGGCACCTGAGTCCACAGGCATCTAGAAGGTGAAGCAGAATCCAACCCAACATGAGTTGGCTGCCCAGTTTTTTTAGGTCCCTTTAAAAATCTATGGACATTAATTCAGTAATAATGTTAAGTATGACCATACAACTAAAATAGCACAGTGTTGATCAAGCAAAAAAATGGTACAGAACTGCCTCAGAAATTATACACATGACACAATAGTGAAGGTCTATTTCATTGACACTCTCAGCAACTGTCACCAAAAGGTATTGACTTGGTATAAATTAAACAGGAATTTGGCCGTTATGTCAAAACTGTTTTTTCTCCCAGAAAGTTAATGACTAAACGTTAAGAAAATTAAGCCTACAGTTTAAAATACATTCATGTGCCTAATTTTCTTCACAGTTACATATAACATAGGCTCTTGGCATGTGTAGTTTATATGGCTGGATGTACAGTCATGGTAAAGTTGTGTGCAGGGGTACATGTGTTTTTGCACAAGCAAATCTGTCCTTAGGTGTGCACACAATTTGCTGAAAATCAACTTCTATCCTCTATTATACAATAGACATGCAAATTAGCATACACTTACTGTTCACAAGTATTCAAAGCAATAGTACTAATGAGTCCCTGCTCTTTTGTAGGGCTGCAGTTGGTATGGTTGTTCTGCTTTTGAAGCAACAGAAATGTTATACATTTAATAATCAAAGAGAGGTAGTTAGCCATGTTAGTCTGAAGTAAGCTGTTGCTTATGAAAATGTATGTCTCCGAATTAGTTAGTTCATAAGGTGCCACTCTGCCCATTTAATAATCAGGTCAGAGACTCACAGAGCCTTTAATGTTCTTTCTCCAAATTTCTTCTGGATCTCACAGGTGTGTTCCTGCAAGGAACAATCTTCTTTTACTGGCTTCATCACAACTGGTGCCTGTTACAAGGGAGAAGAAAATGATTAAAAAGAGATCAAATTAGTGAAGAAAGTAGAATCTGAACAAGAAGATTTTAGCAGACAGCTAAAAGGCTTTTCCCTGATTACCTGTGTAGTAGCTAACAAATCAGAAGTAATATCAGTTGCACATATTAATCACTCCTATTGTTTTGTAAAATTCTGCCCACCTTAAAACTTCTTATTAAATTGCTCTGTGCTTTTAAACTAGGGATGAACTGTTTTGATTGACTGATATACCTCATTCTTACAGGGCTGAGTGCCTGCTGCCAAGAAACAGCTTCCCACTAACATCTTTGGCACACCAAGATTCTCAAACGTTCTCAGCACCTAGCAGCATCATGCCCAAATCCAGTCAAAATGCAGGTATTCACTGATGAATAAAACAGCAACACCCACCTTAGTCCACGAATAGTCACCTACTAAAAATATAGAGTAAGGAGAGTTACATAAATATGCAGACCAACAGAGACAGACAGATTAGATACCTACTTGATCTAGAAAAACAGGGGGGGAAGAATTAAAATGATAGAATATTGATTGAGATTTTTAAAGCACTCTTGAGAGATTTAGACACAAATGTCCCATTTCTGTTAGTGGAAATCATGTTTCTAACCCCCTTAGATATGGAGTGCTCAACCTCCAGTGCCAAATGCCGGCCACAGAGCCATTGCATCTGGCCTGCAGGGCTCCCCCTGGGTCCAGAAATGTGGCAGTTGGGGAGCAGTGGCCATAAATATGGCCACCTCCCCGCCTACCAAATCCCCAAGCCCAGTTCCCTGTGCAGCCAACCAGAGCCAAGCTATGCAAGCTATGTCCCCGTCCACAGGGCTGGGCTATGCCACCCCCCCACTGCTTCTGTATCAAGGCCAAGCCATGCCCCCTCCCTCTCTGCTGGGCCGGGTTGGGGCCTAGCTACTCCCCCTTCCTTCTTCATGGGGCTAGGTCAAGCTCCTTTCCCTTACATCCCCTCCTTGTCTGCATCCCCTCCTTGCACACAACCAGTTGGTGCCTGCCATGTCAGCCCGGGCACAGGATTGGGAGCACTGGCTGGATCCAACCCACAGATGGGCGGGACACTGCCACTCTGGCCCACTGGGCAATGAGGTCAGGCACCACTGCCTTATTTTGCTTTGGAAGTCTCAAGCATCTAGCGTGTAATAACTAGGGATCTTGGTTTTACTACGGATCCCAAAATCCTTGGTTTTTTGCAAATAAAATGAAACACCACTATATACATATAGGTGTAAGTTGAACACAATGTTTTATTGATATATTTACCATTTTAAAGCAAGAAGCCTACAGAAGCCTACCAGTGCCTAAATCATTATAATAACATACATTCTAAATACCTGTATATTTTGGAGTTTAACATGGAAAATCAGAGATCTCCCTGCCCACTTCTTTCACCAGGATACAGGTCCAGCTACAGCTGTCCCCCACAACTGTTTTGTGGTACTGAGCAGCCCTGATATGCTGCTGCCCTGCCCTACTCTGCCCTCCCATACTGGGAGGACAGAGGTGGACTGTGGATGTGGGCCACTGAGGTGGTTCCTGCCAGGTGCCAGTCTGGTCAGGCTGCAGAGCCTTGCCCTGCACCTTGCTGTTGGTGCAAAAATTGGGGGGAGGGGGGGGGACATGCCCCCCCATATCCACCCAGGTATGTCACCAGTGCATATGCCTGTACTGTGCCCAGACAGTCCCCAAGCCCTGGCCCTCCAACCCTCCCCCCCGTCCATTGACTTACCTGTATCCGGCTGCCAGAGCTGTTCCCACCACCCTGCCTGGTTGTATTGCAGCCAAGTGTACATGTGTGCACACATGCAAGTGTCACCCCCTGCCTCCAGTTGCTCCTCCCAGCCCCAAGCTTCAAAAGGGAATATCCATATTTTTCCACAGGAAATGGAAAACCTGGGTCCCAGGTAATGACATCCTTCTTTTCATAATAAACTTATTTTTGTTTCCTGATAGTCAGGTTTGTGCTCAGCCTGCGCTCAGCACTGAATCATTTTTATTTAAGAATCTAAGGCCCCGCTGAAAGAAAGCAGTTAAATGTGTGTTTCAGTCCTGACCCAAATGGAGGTCAAAAGCAACGCTGACTCTAAAGAGTAGTGGTCCTTGAGCACGCCACTTAGGTCCGTGAGTGCGCTGGTTCTCTCCGCGAGCGCACCGCTTCAGTCCGTGAGTATGCCACTTCAGTGCAATGTGGGACACTTACTGAAGGTAAGCTCCTCACCCGGAGCAGGCAGTGGGGGCTGAGGCCTGGGAGCTAGGGGCCTGGGGGTTTGGGGCCTGAGGGCTTGGGGCTGGAGCCTGGCGTGGGCTCCGCCAGCTCCAGGACACTGCTGCACTCCCTTGCTTTGCCTTGGGGAACGAGAAGGCATGTGGCATCAAGGCCAGGGGTAGAGGCTGGGGCCTGGCGCAGGCTCTGCCAGCTCTGGGGAACAGCTCCACAGGCTCCACTGGCCCCAGGGAAGTGCTCCACTCCCCAGCCCTGACGCCACGTCCCTCCTTACTCCCCAAGATGAAGCAGGGGAGCGCAGCAGTTCCCTGGAGCTGGAGGAGCCTGTGCCAGGCTCCTGCCTCCGCCTCCGCCTCCACCTCCGCCTCACTTTGGGGAGGAGCTTACCTTCTGTAAGTGTGCCACACCGCAGCCTAGCTCCTATCCCAGCAGGTGTGCAGCCTAAAAAAGTGTGTGCGTGGCTAGCCTTTTACTTGTGCGTGGCCGCGCATGTGCACACCTTAGAGGGAACCTTCGTCAAGGGTGAAATATGGCATTAGGTGACTGGTCTTCAGGGCTGCTTTAGAATTTTTCTAGCTATAGGAAGCCATTAATTCAAATCTGAAAAAACCATGCATGTTAAAAGACAATACCTGTTTCACAAAGCATTCTGTCAGGTTAAAATCAGGGTTGTTTTTAGCGCTACAGCAGTTGTTCATCATCTTCTCATAATTGTAAGCAGTGAAAAGGATTGTTGGGGCATAGAGGAAGGGATGCCTTCTGGAAATTTCATAGATGAAACTAAAACAAGAAAGCAGTTTGCATTAAACTCTAAGAGTGAATATCCCATAATTTGGGACTGCTTATACCATGTTATTTGCACTTACTTGGTTCTATCACTGACAAGTATACAGTGAAACTTGTTATAACAACAGCCATTAACAGACCAATAGTGGTTGTTTTCTTTTATTATATCAGGGAAATGTTTACAGTGATGTGTTTCATTAGCAGTCATTGGACTGAACAGTTTTGCTATCCATTCAGTGTGTATAGTTTGTTAGTCACCATGATTCCTTGGCCTACATAAAAGCCTGTAATCAAGAAGGTATCTAATCTGTCTGCCTATGTGTGGTACATGAGATTTCTGAGTTTTCTTCCCTTCAAATACTAGCGAGACCCAGGATTGCTTAGTTTTCAAGAAGAGATATAGTTAGTCTGTCATAGCTGCACCTGTTAAGAGGTAAATGTGAAGAAATTCTGTAAGGCCTGAGATTTTACTGAAATGAAAGGGCTGAGTTCTGCAAGAAATTTAATGCTGACAGCTACCTACCAAAGTAGCAAAAGCATGTGCTTACTTTTGAGCATAGTCCTATGTTCATGCTTAAACTTAAGCGCATGTGGAAATGCTATACTGGCACAGTCCAGACTGCTCAGTGCATAGCAGGCCTACATCCCAGGAGAAGTGACTACAACTAGTGATGATGGAAAAGGCATGGGATGTAACGATAGTAACTGAAACTGGTTGAAACACTCAGAAATATTCAAATTTGTAATGTGGGTCAAGATGTTACAGAATTTTCCACTGTCATTTTTGTACTGATTTGGAGTATGTTGTCCCCAAGCTGAGAAGCGCTGCATATTAGCATCTGGTATAAAATAAAAGTACTTACTACCCTACTAGCGAATTTTGGTTATCAGCATAATCACTGCATGCTTTTTCAAGTTCTGGATTTTTAAAGGGATGAATGAATCCTTGGGTAACATTTTTATGAGACAGAAAACATTCATTTCTTTCAGAGTCATCTTTAGCACAACACTCAGTAATTCCAGTAAGGCCTTCCTCCTGGCAGATTTCAGCCAGGAAAAAGGTAGTCTGCAGAAAAAAGAGAAAAAATTAATTGTATGCAGTGCATTGCAATTGTTTCCCTCCTGCAAAATTTCTGTGGAAAGAGCACTAACACAATAAATTGACTGGTTGCAGGAAACTGAATTGGGCATTAAACTCATGGACCAGGATTTATCAAAATCATTGCTTAATGTTTAACTCCTAAGTCCGCCCTCAAGCATCTAAAGTAGTGGGATGATTTTCACAAATAAACATGAATCTGCTGCTAAGCAAGTTCCCATAAGCATCCACGGTGCTAACTCAAAACCAGGTGACTTCACCCTTCCAGTCCCAATCCAGCCCTATAAAATAGGGGAAAACCTATATCAATGTGAAAATGCAGAAAAAAAAAGCATCCACAGACTGGACTGTATTAACCTTGGTCTCAACAGGGACTCTGGATTCTTATCCCATTACCCAGACTAGCTGCTTATTCAGGTGTCCCTCAGGGTGTTAACTGCCCCATTTATCTTAATTGATCAAACTCACCCCATACCACAAGCCAGATCCAGATTGAGGGATTCCTTGTGGGCTGGATTTAGCTTAGGGCAAGGGGTGGCTGTGGCAGGGCTGGCAGTGGTGATAAGGATGATGGTGACAGTGACTCCAGACTGGGGCAGGGCTTGGCAGCAGCAGCTCCAGCCTGGCACACTGAGTGGCAGTAGCAATGACAACTGCAGCATAGAGCATAGGACACAGGGACTGGGACATGGGTTTGGGGTGACAGCTCCAGCACAGGTCAGTGCCAGAGGAGGTACGGCAGAATGCCACAGTGGCAGTGGTAACAGTGGCAACATGCCAAGCATGCTCAGCAACCTGTCATTCCCTCACTCACCCTTCTGCTGCTAAAGGCCATGCCCATCAGGGCCCAGGATCCCTGAATTATATGGCAGCCTGAGCCCCTCCCCCCAGCTTGTCAGTACCCCAACGGGAGCATTCATCCACAGATCACTTGTTTGACACCCCTGATCATAGGTGGATCCAGAATATAGAAGCAAGAACTGGTGCTGCAGGAGTGGCTGCACCCTCACTTCCAGCCTTCCCCACTAATCACCCCAATCACCAGGCAGGCAGACTACACTGCAAGAACAGTAGCTTTTTAAGTCACAAAGGCCACATCCAGACAAGCAGAGGCATGTGGTTGCAGCAGCACAAATAGTTGTGGCACAAATTTGTGCCACTATATAGTGCCACAGCACACACCCCTGCACGTGGGCTTTGTTGAGAGACAAATTGTCCCACTTCAGGCAAACTGCTCATGTCCAGCTCCTCCCAGCTCCTGGCTGAGCTCCATGTGCTGTGGGGAGGGCTAGCTGGGGCACAGAGTGCCTGAGCACAGGGCTAGTCACCTGACAGCTCCCACACTGAAGTACCCTGTGCCCCAGCCAGTTAGGGAGTAGCATATAGAGATGGGGAAGCAGCCAGCCCTGGGCTACCTGCTGCCCTGTCTTGAGGCACACTGCAACCCAGCCAACCACAGAGTGACTGGCTGGCACCCAACATGCCTCACTGAGGGGGCTCTGCAGCACACGGAGACATGGGAGTTGGCAGCCCTGGGCTGCCTGCTCCCCCCATCTCTGCATCTGTCCAGGAATATACTACTTTTGTATGCTTTGCCACTCTTTATCACTGCAAATTAGCCAAATTGTGCCAGTTTAACATGCAAGGTGTGGGGTTTGTGGTGCTTCACAGCTAGGGACAGACATTCAGAAAGCCTGAGCCTGAATTGATTCAATCTTGCAGGTTAGTCTAACCTGGCTAGGCTGAACCTGTTTGTAACTGGACAGACATTCTCTCTGGACTGAGGAAATTCAGGCACATGCCTGCCATGGCTCTGGCTAGAAGCCAGAGGGTGCTAAAGTAGCCCTCCCTTCCCTTGCTCAATGCTGAGCTGAGGCAGGGCATGGCCAGGCCCTGGCAGGATGCTCTGATTAGGGAGGTCTGCCTGCACCATCCCAGGCTTTTCCTCACTCACTGCTAAAAGGGTGGGAGTGTTACCAGGCCCCAGCCTTCTGCTAGCACTCTGATGCAAGTGGGGAGGAGGCAGTGCAGTGCATGCATCTGCTGATGGTATGGAGCATTTAAATCTCCCTCCCTGCTTCTTTATACTGTCTGCAGAAAACTGAAAGGTGAACAAGCCAGCAGGGAGCTGATAACAGTGTTTATCACCCAATCAGCAAAGCAATAGCCTCTCTCCATTACTTCAAACTCTTCTTAAACATCTTGCCAGCTGACCTGTTGATTAGCTACAAATAGCCCTAAACTAATACTGTTCTGTCTGCCTGTCCCAGTGAAACTGGAGACACATACATGTCTGCATTAGCTAGCATACCACTAGCTAGACCACTAGGGTCCATGGGGCTTGGGTCCCTGCTGTGGGAGATGAGAGGGAAAGGGGTGGGATTTCCTGCTTGAACAATGAGCAGTGATGGGGGAGTAGGGCAGGGGGAAGCCAGGCAGACTCTGCTGTGCCTGCAGACTGTGTGGAGTTCCAGCCAGGGAGCAGAGAGGAGGGTCCAGTCCTGCTGTGGAGCACATAGTCCCACCTAGCCCAGAGAGCATGCCAGGATGCTGGGGGAGTCTGGACCACTAAGGGATCTGGGACAGACATTGCATAAACAGGTTTGAGCCAAATCAGTTAACTCTGATATTACATTCAACCAGGTTTATCTCAAACTGGTTTCAACCATTTTCAAACTGGTTTATGTACACTGAACATCTGTTCTGTTCCAGGTTTAAACCAGTTTCTGATCACTTAAACTGGTTTATGTGTAATGTCTGTCCCTAGCCCACATGCCTGCATGTATGAATACAGCCAAAGAGGGTAAGATTCCCCTCTCCCTTCCCCTCTGTACTTAGAGGCTTGTCCCTCCCCTCCTATTACCCTCTTCTGTTTGCCACTTCTGTTTGCCCTTTTTTGTTTGCTGCTGCCCCTGCTGCCCCAGGCGGTAAAGGGAGCTCCAGAGCTGCTCCAGCCAGGCTGCATTAGGACTGGGCTCAGCCTGGGACAGTGGCAGTGGTCAGGCATGGTCCCCTCTCCCATGCCCACTCGTGGTCTGGCAAAGAACATCTTGGGGGACCAGGCAGGGAGGGGAAACTTGTTGCTGCTGCTGCCACTGCTGCTGCTGCTACCACTGCCACTATCTAGGGCTGAGCCCAACTGGAGTGGAACAGGAACTCCCTTCTCCCTCAGGACAGGGGGGAGACCAGCAGTGGCAGACAGGGTAAGAAGGAATGGGAAGGGACAGGGAGAGGAGGGGATGTGCCTCTGAGCATGGGCGGTGTGTAATTTGTATTTTCTTTGGGAGTTAAAAAGAAGACCCTGACTGCTGCTTCTGCCACGTGGTCAGAAAGGGGTGTGTGGCTGTACCACTGCACCCACTTCTAGATCTGATCGTGTTTCTGATGTCATAAATTCCCCTGATTAACTCTTTTAACAGCATCCCTTCCCTCGTACATTTCCTCTTCTCTAAACATTTTTTTCTGCCAGTCCTTTCCAAGCATCTGACAAAGTAGGTTGTTGCCTACAAAAGCTTTTGTTTCCCTAAACCAATTAATCTCTATGGTGTCTCCCTGCCCTCCCTTCTACCTAGTTTTTAAATAGGTTCCAGCAGCAATATTCAGATTCACATCTGCATATGCAGATTGACATTCAGTTTCACAGCTCACCTCACTCCGTGCTTCAGAGACATTCAGATCCAGGGATTTTATCTGGTGAATTGTAACTAACGGGAAGAGGTTATACAGTTTATATCTAGACTGGGTTGGAGATTGAATCTCTCCATCAAAAACAAATGCAGTCTTTCTTCTTGCTAGTACTGACAGGATACAAAGGCAGCTACTGAATGTAGTTACATTGCTTTTGGGTACCCTTCTTTCCTGCAAGAAGGTTTTTTTTGAAAAAACACAGGCTGAGATTTTTCAGAATTGATTGATAATTTGATCTCCCCTGGTTTCTCAGTGACTATCTGAGATACGTTTAAAATGGTAGTAGGTGTTATTTAGATGCATCACTCACTTTCTAGATATCAAGCATCTGTAGCTAGACATCTAAAAAGCAAGGCTCCTCTCCATCCACTAATCATCTCTTCCACAAAAGAGCACTTTTGAACCTGTTGGCTTCTATAAGAATCTAATTTTGCTTACCAGTGGCTTGGCACATTTTGGGTCTCTGGCATCAGCAACACACTCTTTTGCAAGATCTGTGACATCATCTACCATTTTAGCTGCTTTTTCAAAAGAGACTTTCTGCATATACTGAGCAAACATGACCATGGATCTGTAACAGTATGCATATGGTTCAGTATGTATCTAGCTACCAGAAAAACAAAATATGAACAACCCCCCCCCCCCCCCGCCAAACAAACAAAAGCTTTAAGAGATGAAAAAGGTCCTTGGTGTTACTGGTTAAATTGGAGGTGTATAGAGACAGGTCTAACAGGGAACCTGAGAGATGAAACAGCGGATAGTATCTCCTTACATACTCAACCAAGACGATAAAACAACTGTGGAAACAGACTTGCAGTGGTATTTTGCTATGGGATAATGACAAAGTATGGTGAAGATCTATCTGAATGGTAGAAGCAGCTGTGAGGGGATTTCATCCTCCATTAGACAGTAAAAATGCTTTACTACTATCTACATTAAGAGTCTTCTGACCTTGTCTACATTATAAGTCTTCTGCCAGAAGGCAGAAACCACCACAGGAAAAGCTATTTAGTATAGACCTGGCTTTGGGAAGGCCTGCAAACACCTTTGAGGAAAACTTGATTTACTATTCAGAGGCAGTTCTGCTCATCCTGTACCATTAAGCCAACCCCAATGAATTTGTCTTACTGGACCAAGTGATGGCAGAGCTAATGCATTACAATATATATTTCTGATCCCCTCTGTCTCCAGGGCATAGGCAAATTAACTCTTGTAGTTCATGTTAGTAATACACCAGCTTCCAACAATACTCCTGACATCACATAAAGATGATAGTGTATTTTACCCTCACATCATCTTTATAGTACAGTAAAAGCTGTGTTAACCAGCATGAGTGGAGAACACAGCCTGCTGGATATATAAAAATCCTGGTTATTTGAAGCAGGGGTTTTGGCCGGATGCGGAGCAGGGGGGGCAAGGCAGCCAGATGCAGAGCGGCAGCAGTGCAGACTGGTGGGTGGCGGCAGCGGCTGGCATGTGTGAGCTTCCCCCCCAATCCCCTACATCTGGCTAACCAGCCAGAAATTCCAGTTATTAGAAATTCCGGTTACTAAAATGCCGGTTAATACTGCTTGCTTACTTGCTTTCTCTTTCACATTAAACCTAAGAGTTACTAAGTACAGTTAAAACACAAGTAACCACACGTTCAAGCAGTTTAACAGGTGTTAAATGTACCCTTAGCATTGCAAAGTTGCTCCCTTTTAGGTGAAGATTATCTCCTCAACAAAACAGTCTTCAGCAGGTGGGTCTTTTTGAGTCTTTGCTACAGTAACTTTGGAAAATAAATCCATGGATTGCAGTGATGACCAGGAAGAAACTTTGGCAGAATTTCTGCACTAAAGGCATAGAAATCCACCTTAGAAAACAATGTAATGTACCTCCCCAATAGCACTTTATTTGTGCTGAATTGCTACAGTAAAGTCAACTTCCTTTTATCTGTTTTGATCTTGGCTTCCCTCCATACTTTTCTGTTTTCTACCAGGTGGAAATATGCTTTTCTATCAAAACTCTGGGTCTTTGTTTTGTAATGCAGTTGAAAGTAGATTCTAGATAGGAGTTTATGAAATAGTGAAGACAATGAATAACTAACTCTGATCATGTCTCAATTGAATCCTTGCTGAGTCAAGGGCAACTGTCAAGAAATAAGCCCTGCCTATTCATTCCCACTCCATATGTAGTCAAGCCCAGTAAAAAGGCAGCACAGTGGGGTCCTGAGTACATGCCCTGGAGACACTCACTCTGCTCCTTGAAGCACACCCACAGGACTCCTCCATTTCTAAGAGAATTGCCAGTGGGAGACTATTCTCTGCAGAATAAACTAAGCTTTTAAGACCCACCCCCAAGCAATGGGTGCTGTGTGAAATATACCACCAGCAGTAGCTCCAGGAGGCAGTGACTTGCTGGCAACCTTCTGACATTCATCTCTGATTTATTTCATTTCTGTAAATATCAGCTTTCATACAGTCCATATTTTTCCAGCATCTAATACTTGTATTTTTATTTTTGAATCAGATAGAAACCCAGAATAAGGATTATTGTCAGCAACTTTTTAAGTAGATTTTTCTAGATAAGACTTACATGGCTCTAAAATTTTGTTCTCCTAGCTCAGCAAAACATTCACGGATAGTCTTTTTTTCCCCTGAAAAGAAAATAAAACTTTTGGTGACTCAAAGCCTTATTATGAGTGCTTCATAAAATACATAATTTTCCTGATCCATAACAAAGGAAAGAAAGTGGGCAGGGCACTGGCCTTGGACTTTGGAGATGAGAGTTTAAGCCTATTCTGTCACAGATAGCCTTTGTGACCTTAGACAAGTCCCACACTCTTTCTGTGCTTCACTTCCCAGTAAGCACAATAGGAATAATGGGACTTTCCTTCCTCACAGGTGAGTTGTGGGAAGTATATTCAAGTTTGTGAGGTGTTCAGATATCAGAGTAATGAGGCTCATGTGAGTTGCTCAGACAGTATCTTAAGGCTTAACAACCAAATTGAGTTAAACTATTAAACTCATCACTGCACGTGTGAATGAACTTCCACTAAAGTTAATGGATTTGCACCCTCTGAATGTAGCCTAGAATTTGGCACAGGGAAACAGAATGGGTCTAAAATAACTAAAGATTATGTAAAAAATATTTTTCTGTTCTAACAACCCTCCCCCTGTCAACATTAAAGGCTGTGGTACAACATTGTTGGAGTGAAAGAAGTGATGACTATGGGACATGGTGGGAAAGAAGTCAATTATGAAAACTAAGCTGTTTACCTCTGTGTGCTGAAGGAAACCAGATTTCTAACCTAGAACTTCTTGAGTTCTTGATCAGTCTGGGATTTTTCTGACATTTTTATCAAGAATTTATCTTTTCAGGGGCCCTGTTACTCCAGTCCACCCTGCCTGGTTATTTACACTTCTGCCAAGTGAGTGCAAAAGATTACTACCCCATAAATGTTTACATTTGGTTTGAACTGGGTCTGCATCAATTGCAAAGACCCAAGGCCATAGAAAAATGAAGGCCATTGTGTCCCACTCGCAAGACATCTGAACATGTAAAAAGTAGCGATGAAGATATGTCTAGAATTGTGTCTTACACTGTCAAAGCATTTTATAAAGCCTGTGGCCTCCCAACCTGAAAAAGTGATCATTGCATCAGTATGATGAAGCTTCTGAAGTGTGCAAGAAGCAGCCCATGTATGCACTAAAGGCTCAAAACTATCCTTCATATTGTCCACCTCCGAACAAAAACAGTCTTGTATGACATGGATTCTCAAAGCATTAAATAGCAACAAACCTGGGGCTGATTATTTGGTACTGAAAAATATTTTCCAAATTTCCAGTTCTAAGGATAAATAGCCCTACCAAAGCCAATGGGTTTTCAGCTTAAAACAGTTGCAGAACTGGGGCTTAAATGACTAAATATTTTACCTAACTTATTTTTCTAAACCAATATATAAAGCCAATATATAACAATTGATAGTACTAAGAGTGTCACTGAGTATTCTACATGAAATATAAAATCCTGCTCATCTGACTGATGCAAAGCTCCTGCTAACTTGCATGAGGAAGGTGAAAGCAACTTGCCTGCAAAGGAACATCATATGTCTCAAGAGTGACTCAGGGATGTATCTGGTAGCCGTTTTGGTCTGAGACAAAAAGAACTCTTGGTTCAGAGACGATACCTTTTATTAGACCAACTAAGAAATTGCAACAAATATTTTTCTGCAAGCTTTTAAGCACACACTCCTTTCCTCAGGCTCAGAGAAAATTAAAGATGGTAAAAAGTCCTCATAGGTCAAAAATAAACTTCATTTTTACACAGAGGAGGCTGAAGGTGGAAGTCTGTCTCTCTGGGTCCATGAGAGGGTCTTTGTGAGTTGCTCTTTGATGTGCAGATAAGGCAGGATTCCTTCCCTGGCGGTGTCAGCTGGCAGACAGGCAAGGAGGTGTAGAAATCTTTCTTGTTGCTCAGCAATGAAGTTTAAATCCAAAATTGGCTAAAGTTCAGCATTTTATTCAAATTTTATTTGAATTTTAGATGCACATCGAAGAGCAACTCACAAAGATCCTCTCAAGGACCCAGAGGGACAGACTTCCACCTTCAGCTTCCTCTTGCAAAAATGAAGTTTATTTTCTACCTATGGGGACTTTTTACCATCTTTAATTTTCCCTGAGCCTGAGGAAGGGCATGGGTGCCTGAAAGCTTGCAGAAAAAGATATTTTCTAGCGATTTCTTAGTTGGCCTAATAAAAGGTATCATCTCTGAACCAAGAGTTGTAGAGTTTTAAATTTTTTCAAGAGTGACTCAGCACCTTCAGCAAATTCGAAATCACATTCACAAACCCAGCCTCAGTGCCCAGCCCCTCTGGATTTGAAAGGTAATAGCCAATTCTAAGTGGTCTGGAGTACGTAATGAGTCAGACCTTGCTCTAATTTGAATGTGGCCATCAGCTTCAGTGAGAATGGGATCAGGGCTACTATAGCACTATGGCATGGTGATGGCATGTACTCCCCACAAGACCAGGCTAGAAATGACAGTGACCCTCCAAGATCCCCACATGTGTACAAACAACCTGTTGTAGCCATTACTATAATCTGAAAGTATACAGTTAGTGTACAATAAATAGTCTTACCTACATCCCGATAACTTCTGGGCAGGGCTTTTGCTATTGTAAGGCTTACAAAGAAAAGAAAAGAAATTAATATTCCCCACTTCATTATGTCAGAATTTTTAGGACGGTGGTGCTGGATTGCACGCGGAAGGTAGAAAGATGCACAAAAAAAAGAATTTTCTTTTATACTCTTCTGAAGTTATGTGTGGTTAATGAAAAACCCTTTTCCGATCATATATATAAGATTAGAACTTTTGGGATATTCCTGCTAATAATTAAACAGATAAAATTATTTGCTTATTATGTTTGTTAGTTTGACAACTTGTCACAAAAAGTCCTTGTAAATTCATTAGTCTTTCAGAATTTAGACAAATAGACATTTGTAACTTGAGTTATCTCATTTCAAACAAGAGATGCAAACAAACTCCTTTTTTTCCCTTACTTATGCTCTTTATCCGACACTCATATACTGACCTTCTTCCATCCCCCCTGAAATAGATCATTTAAAGGTGAATGCTCTGCTGAAGGTGCCCTGTGGAGTGAAGGACCTCAAGTTTGTGCAAAGACCCATAACTTTTACCTCCTAGCTTGCTGATCAAGTTCTCTCTCACTCCTGGCTATAGGACAATAGTGAAGGAAAAATATAGAATAATGTACCATGGAAAGCCTCTGTCTAAAAAGCTAGAAATCTGTAGAAATATATTTCAAGAAGGAGCAAATAAAAATCCATTGTAAAAAAGGGAAAATCAATGTAAAAAACACTGAACACTGCGCAGACAGATACCAGATATGGGAGAGGAAAGATGAGGTTCACACAGTTCATGGTAGTATGGGCAGAAAATACTAGGGCAAAAGGGCCTATGAGAGCATGTCTCCCAGAGCAGAGGAGCTGGCATATAAGGCTTGAAATGCAAGACGATAAAGACAAAATTGAAGCTGCTATACTAATAGCATTACCCCAAAAGTCCTGGGTAAGAAAAAATAACTGCATAAAAGAAAAAGAACTGCTTGAAAGCTACCGATTCCAGTCCTAGACTTCTTCAAATACCCTTTCTTCATTAGACCCACAACAGATGACAGACATGGTTTTGTTTAATCAGGTAGACACTGTCACCAAGACCAGACTGCATGTCACCTGCTCTGAAACCCACACTTGGGATTTAGTGCCGTTCTGCTAGGGGTCATGCCAACCCTGGGAGACACTAGACTGCTCCCCTGTGTGTGAGCCCATTGTCTGTTTCTACCTGATTTCATCCTGACCAAATGCAGTCCAAGGGCCTACACTTGCTAGCTACTTCTTGCAAAGAGGTGGCAAGGTAGTCTTGCTTCTTCCTTTCCCAGAACTAAATCTAGGCTGTCATTTCTTCATCATCTTAACCATTCTTTTCTCTCATGTGTTTGCTCCCTTGGATCCAGAGATAGAGTATGGATAATGCTGATCCATTCTAGAGGACTTCTGCACAGAGTTGGGGTTCTACCTGGCCCAGAATTGATGCAATGTCTCCTCAGAGGCAGCCAAAGGGTACTCTAGAAGTGAGGAGTAGCTGGAAAATCAATCAGACAGGAAGCAGAGAGGATGAGAGTCATAGCATACATTACTCATATTCTTATTAGGAAAAGATAACGCAGGATAACCAGGGTGGGGACAGGGGCTGGAAAAAGTCCTGCTCACTCCTACTTTAGCTGTTTTTATTCTTCATGTTAAATAAGTACCCAGTAAGGTGGGGGAGGGGAGGTAGGATTTTTTATTCAGTCCCACCTGGCAGAATTTGGCCTTCAACTCTTTGTGCTGCTTACCAGAAGTGAAGCCCATACAGGTCAGCACACAAACAGAGCACTTTGGCCTCCTAATGTGTCAGCCAGGCACATTTCTCAGGCACTGTTGTGCTCAGGGCCCGGGGGAAAGAGAGGTTTTCTTTCAGTGCCTTCCAGCTGCAGTGTTGCACTCTTTAGATGAGGTATAATAAAGTTGTATACCACAGAGCAGTGATAGGTGCCTCCTGAACCTGTGGTAGAGAAGACCCCAAAAATTGACAGTGGGTAAGCTGACAGTAGGCACGTCTACATGAGATTCTACTCCACAGTTAGTACTGCACATTTATTTAGTACTCATATTAGCAAATACTAAATAAATACACAGTAGCCCGAGTTACTGTGCAGTAGTGCCAGCAAATGTCTTTTAGGTAATGGTACTGAGCAATAGCCTAATAATGCTGGGCAGTATTGTATTAGCACTGTCTGTGTTGTGATGAGCTACTGCACAATATTGTTCGACTACTGTGCAGTCAGCGTCTTGTGTAGACGCACCCAGAATCTTTCAAAGTGAAGGAGAAGGCTGAGATCTGAATTGACCCCAAGACTCATTGCCTCTGAATAAAAAATGAGTCTGTTCAGAATGGTTTCACAATGCATCCCACTCCTGTCCTAGTATTGACTCTAATGCTCCATGAGCAGATTCAGAACGTTAGACTACATAGGAGAATCTCTCTGGAGAAAAGTTCAATACAGTGATAATTCAGGAAATTAGGGCTCGCTTTCCTTCCTAACATTAGTGAGCCAGTGCCACAGCATGCCACAGAGGGATCTTTGGTCACAAGGGGCACATCCAAACGAACGCACGTGCAGGATGTGGTGCCACAGACCCACCTGTGGCACTGCACTCACCACACATGCAGGCATTCCCTGCACTACTAATTTGCAGCTTGGGGGGTTTTTGATACCAGTTCCAAAAAATCCCACACTTGAAAAAGCAGGGTGGTACACATGGTGGCAGAATGCACGGTCTGTAACTGGAGCCTGACCAGGTGAAGCCACGTTTCAGCTGCTGGCCAGGCTCCCTGCTGCCAGATTGCCACTGCTGGAGCCCTGGGAAGCCCCCGGTACACCAGGTGCTGGCACCAGCCTCCCCTATCCTACCTGGGGCAACTTGCCATGCGTGCATGGGTGTTCCCTGGGGACAAGTAGCAGCAGCATATATTGCAATGTTGCTATTTGTCCCCAGGGAAATGTACTTGCATGCTTGTCTGGATGTGCCCACAGTGTTTTCTTTCCTGAAAGGCTCCTGGTTCTCCACTACTCTGCATCTTGTGTTGCAATTTAATCCTGTTCAAAATGCTGCCACACCAGAATTCACCACACAGATGTGCCCATGAAAGTATCTGAAGCTCACTTTTCCTGCCTATTTATGATCACACAAGCTGCAAGGCATTAGAGAACCAGATGTGACCTGTTTTCATTAATATCTGATAACAGCAGTGTGTGAGAAACCATTCAGTTCACTGCTGGTTTTAAAAGACTTCAGTTAAACTCCTCCTTTCTCTCTTTATCCAGTCAGCAGCATAGAAGCCTCTTTTTCCATTTCAGGCTTTTCAAATTGCATCGCATCATCTGAAAGAGTACCTGAATGTTCTTTTTTATTTGCAAGGGTAATATGATATCTGCATGATCTGGAAAGAAGACACAAGTCTAGCACTAAGGGCAGGATCCAGTGGTCCTCAACCTTTGGCCCACAAGACCATATCATCTGGTTCATAGGTCTCCTCACAGATTTGTAAATTTGGTGGTGGTAGCAGTGGCAGTGTTAATTGCCATTCCCCTCCTGCCAAATTTCAGGCCCTGTGGGAAGACCTGCAAGCTAAATGACATGGCCCTGAATGACATGGCCCTGTGTGCTGGCCCACACTGGCATGCAGTGTGGCCAGCACACAGGCCAGATCCAGCATGAAGGGTTGGACCATGCCTGAGATCAGGCTGGTGCATGTAGGATCCAGCCCACAGACCAGCCCTTTGCCACAAATCCAGCCTTCAGGGCCAGACATTTGAGCACCATTGCAATAAAGGACTTAGGGTGTGTCTACACAAGATGCTTTACGGCACAGTAATCTACTGCATGGTAAAGTGCCACCATCTACATGTGTGTACATTTACTGCAAAGTAAATTAGTCTAGTGTGCAGTTACTTATTACCTGTAAATACAGGTAGTAAACTAATTGAGCAATAGATACTGCGCATGTGTAGATGCTGACTGGGAGTAAATTTGCTCCCGGTCAGCCCCAACACTAGTGGGGCAAAATACCCCAGGATGGGGAACTACCCCAGTCCTGGCTCCCCACAGAACCTGGGAGGCAATCAGTGCTGGGATTCAGGACCTCCCTGCTTCCCCACCCAGCCCAGGGCTAGCCAGGAACAGGGGCAGCAACCTGAGCAGCCTGGGGCTGGCCAGGACTGTCCCTTCTGGGGCAGGTCCCAGCCAGCTCCAGGCTGTGCAAGGATTTCCCCACCCAGCCCAGAGCTGACCAGAAACTGCCCCTCTTCTGGGACAGTTCCCAGCCAGCCCTGGGCTGCTCAGGGAAATCCTCACACAGCCTGGAGCTGGCTGAAAGATGCCCCTGAAGGAACATCTCTGGGCCAGGCCCTGGCTGCATGGGGAAGACCTGCTGGGCATAGGGCTTGCCCCATGTGCAGGGGCCAACAGAGCTCTGCAGCAGCATCTGTATTCTGGCCCCATGCACATTAGGACCCCTCCCAATGTGCACGAGACCAGGAAACAGTTGCTGCTACAGCCAGCAGAGCTCTCCTAGGCTGGTCTCATGGGGACTAGCCCTGTGCTTCCTGCCAGCCCCTGGGCTAGCACCCAGGGTGAGCCTGGAGCTCCCCCTGATTGCTGTAGGGAGCCAGAGCAGAGCTGGAGAAGCCCTGCACCAGGCTGCTCCCATTGGGAGCAGATTTACTGGCAACAGGGAGCACATATAGCTGTGCCCTTCAGGAAGAATTACTTTATAGCATTAATTGCATGTGTAGATATGTCCTTAGGCAACTAAGAAGGTGGTAATGATGGTGCTGCTTCTCAAGATGCACATTGAGCTACTCAAGTTTATGCTAGCAGAGGGTCTGGCCTTCTCCTCTTACAGATAACTTAGAAGTTCACTTGAAAGCTCCCACTGGTGCTGAGTGCAGCTCCTGCTATCCAAATGGGGTGAGCCTCTGTTACCAGGTAACAGCTGGGCTCAGGTCTTAGCACTGGCTTCCTGTTCAGCTCCAGGTACAATCCAAAGGTTGGGTGATGTTCTTTAAGACTATAAAGAACCTAAGAGATAGTGTTTGTAAGGCCCCCTTTCCCCTGTACATTGGTGTACCAGAGAAGGAAATATGAGATGCTCTTGCAGTCCATAGCTGTTTGGAAATGCTGAGCTGCAGACCAGGCCTTTCTCAGTAGAACCTCCCTGACTCTTGACACTTGCTCCCCACTTGATGGTCACCTAAGCTAACAGCTTGCAATGCTCCACAGTAGGATATTTTCATTTCATTAGCCTTTTCTGAATTTTTGGTGGACAGTTTTCTGTAATAGTATTCCTGACAAAAGGACAGATACTTAAAGCTAACCCAAACAGATAACAGTGTATACCAGAGTCTGCTCACTTGAATTTCTACATGGTTGCAGCACAAGAGACCTGCATTGGTTCTGCTGCAGGTTGTGTTGCCAGCTTCAGTGTTCAGAAACTACAATTCAGATTCCCAAAATGATTAATTTGAATTTGGTGGGGAAGTTTCTTTGCACCCCCACTTGCCTCTTGTGGTTTTAGCCTTTGGGATTTGTTTTCTTCATGTTTTCAGGCATAGCGGGGTTCACAGTGAGGGCTAGAAAATTCCAAACGTATTGCCTTCGAACAGTGAAATGTTTAGATCCCCATCAGGTAGCGATATGTTAAAAAAACAAACAACCCCCCCCTTCCATTTCCCTCTCCTAATGCCTGGTTTGAGGTTCTCCTGCCTGATGCCACTCCACTATCCATCAGGATGCATCTCTCATTGCTAAGAGTTCTATCTTCAAGATCATCCACATCTAAACAATTCCCCTGATTGCTGGACTCATTGAGAAAATGCCCACTGCAAATGAATTTCAATTTGTGAGTCATTCGCAAACCAGTCCTGGCATTTGTGAACATGCTTTGCATTCACCCAGTAGTCTGAGGTATTTCCATATTGCAGTGGGAGCTGTGAGGGCAGCACATGTAGCACATCCAAGGTAGCTTTAACTTAACTAGAGCAAGTAAGGATTGCAACAAAGATGCCTTTCTACGTTTCACCAGCAATTCCACTACAAATTCAAGGTGCCCAAGAGAGTTATACAGTCCTGACTGGAGTCTACACCTTCTTATTTCTGTTACAATTCTTCCCTGGGCTCACTAGATTAAAGATAGCTTAGCTATGCCTACACATGGTGTAAAGGCACCTCCCAGTTGCAGGGTAGACATAGCCTTGATTAATAATCCTCAGCCTGCTTTACACATAGTCCATTCATAGTTTACTGTTTTCACTGTGTCCCTCATCATCAATGTCCTATGGTATTGTTTCTGCTGTGAACCCTTAGACTGGCAAATAAATACTAACAGATAAAGAGAGAACAGTGTACATACGGCGGAGATTTTTTGGATGAATTAATGTTAAGTTTTGGGGAATACCTCATGACTATAAATACTCTTAAATTCAACAATACTACAAAACTGTGAACAAAAAGTTACCTAAAACCCAGGTACTTAAACATGAAATTTAATCATGACACTGCTGCTTAAATTTTCAACCAGCTCTACTTTTGTCTCTAAATATTTCACTTTGTACCAAGACCTCTTTTGAATGGTGTAGTAAGAACACTTCTCAGTTTTAATCAGCATCAGTCTTACAGACAGGGAGTAGTGTCTGTAAGCAATACCTTAATTGAGTATCTCCAAAAGAAATATGAACTTTATCTTTCCTTTATGGGAAGGCATATAAAATAGGTATTGTGAGTTAGATTATTTGCCAGCCTAAAAATATGTATTTCCTATACAAATATAATGACTTCATTGTTTGGAAATTCCCATCCCACTGCCATTATGCTGGTACAATGTAGAGATCCTCATCATGGTGTATGTTTTGAATGGGGCACCTCTAAAGTAAGAATCACTTCTTCTGGCTGTGATTTTGATAGCCTTCTTCAACTATCATTGAAATTAAGAAGGCCATCTGCAGAGCCAGTTGTCCCTGGAATGGAGTATGGGTATCACAATTTGGCCTGTAGTAATTACAATCACTGTTATAAAATGATGGACCTTCCAACTATTTTACAAGAGATGGAAATGAAGGGGTAAGGAGGTAGGAAAAGCTACCTCTAGACCATAAGGCTAGGGACAATAGTTACACATAAACCAGTTTAAGTGAGTGGAAACTGGTTTAAATCTGTAACAGAACGTAAGTTCACTACACATAAACCAGTTTCAGAATGACTGAAAGCAGATCCCAGCATGCTCTGCAGCCTTGGGCAGGGCTGTGCTGTCTGTTCCAGTGGATCAGGGCTGGCCCCACCCCTCTGCTCCCTAGCCATTGCACCTGCAGGCAGGGGCAAGGGCAGGGGCATGGCCAGATGCTGGCTCCCATAAGGCAAAGGGAGCAAGGAAGAGATTTATTTCCCCACCCCCCCTCCCTTATCACACTAGCATGGGCCTGCCAGGTATTTCTTCAGTCACTGCTCCAGCAGTGGAGATGTGGCCAGGCCCAGCAGTAGCCTGAAGTGAACTGGCCAGGAAGGAGATTTAATTCCCATCTCCCTGTCCCATGAGCACGGACCTGAGCCGTGGTCTACCTGGTACTCCCCCCCACTGCTGTAGCAGCAGATGTAGAGGTGTGGCCGAGGCCAGCCGGCATGGTGACCTGAGGCAGAGGGAGCAGGGAGGGGGTTCATTCCCCACACTGCCCCAGGGGACTGCAATGGAGTCTGCCTGCCCTGACCACTGCTGCTGCCAATCACTCTCTGGCAGGGTGAGCAGCGGAATAAGCCCCCTCCCTGTCCCCTTTGCCAGATGCCAAACGGAGGAGGGAAATAAACCCAATCCATGCCCCAGTGTTTAAGGTGCTTCGCTGGCCAGCCACTGGAGCTGCAAGGGAACAGAGACTGTGATGGGGGCAGCAGCCCCTCTCTTGGTGTCCCAGAGCATGAGCCTCTTCTCAGCAGGTGGGGAGGGGGGACCACACTGCGGGCAGGGCGGTCAGAGCTGCCACAGACTGCATGGGGCAAGTGGCAGCATCAGGGCTTGCAGGGGTGTCCATTGACACCCAAGCCCCCCATTAGTGCTGCTGCCACTTGCCCCATGCAGTCTGCAGCAGCTCTGACAACCCCACCCTGCTCCTGCCCCCACCTGCAGCATGGCCCCCCACTGGGAAGAGGCTCTCACACTGGGACACCAGGAGAGGAGGTGCTGCCCCCGTCATGGTCCCTGCCCCCTCACCACTCCAGAGGCAGGGGCGGGGGCACTGCCAGAGGTCAGCCAGCATGGCCCCTGTGGCACCAGGGCATAGACAGGCTTTATCTGTCCCCTCGTGAAGTGGGCAGGGAGGGGGCTTATTCCATCATTTGCCCCATGCGGGGAGCAAACAGTGGCAGTGGCGGCAACACGATCACAGGGTTGGCAGACCCCACTGCAGTCCCCCAGGGGCAGAGGGTGTGGAGGCGGGAATAAACCCCCTCCCTGCCCCCTCTGCCTCAGGGGGCCATGCCAGCTAGCCTCTAGGTGTGCCCCTGCCCCTGCAACTGCAGCAGCGAGGGGGGAAGCAACAGGCAGACCCTGGCTCAGGTCTGTGCCAGTGGGACAGGGACTGGGGAAATAAACCCCCTCCCTGGCCAATTCACTTCAGGCTACTTCCAGTAAGCCACCCCCTCTCCCTCCTCCCTGCCTCGCAGCACAGCTTCCCTGCAGCTGAGGCCTGCTCTAGCATCCCCCAGCTCCTGGCCTGAGCAGCTGCAGGCATATGCCTGCATTTCTCAGTCCAGAGGGTATGTCTGTTCACTTGCAAATTGATTGAATCTAGGCAGGTTAGACTACCCTGCAAAATATTGCATCAATTCAGGCTCTGGCATTTTGAATGTCTATCCCTAGCCCAAATGTTCCCATATCTAACCTTGAGTCTAGAATGAAGTGAAAATCTCCATTGTCTTCAGTTAATTAACAGACTTGGTCAATGACATTTTTAAAAACTTTTCTTTATTTTTCACTTCACCATAGGAATACCGCTGAAACATTTCTGGAAACCCTTTTTTTTTTTCCAAAATGTTATACATCAATTTAAACAGAATTTTAAACCATTGGCCATTACCAAGATAAAAACAAAGTGCACGAGAAGATGAACAGAAGAATTTATTTGTTGTCTTCCCTGCTGGCAATCTAGAAGGGAAATGAAAAAAGGATTATGTCATAAAGCACAGTAATGTATTCTAAAGTTGTGTATGCCGTATGAGAGGTGACAAATCAACCATTTGGGACAGTAACCGTGCAGTTGGGTTAAGAGTCCATTTGCAATTAGGCCTGTTGCAGATGGATCTGGGAAAATCATTCTGTGGCTATACATCATGCATACAGACCTACTATGTTATGGATAGACTGTCGTGATCCTCCTGGTAACAGCTGAGCACCTCCCCAACATTTATTTTACCCTCCCCATGTCCCAGTGTGGTTGGGTCAGGGTTCTAGAGATGAATCCTGTGATTGACCCTCACACCTCAGTGAAGAGGTGACTGCAGGGGCAGATTCAGGATTTACTAAAGAGGGACGCAACACACCACCCCTCAAACCATGAGGAATGGTCTGTGGAATGGCAAAACACATCTGGAGCCCCTGGGTTAGATTGGGACTGAGGGGAGCTGGGCATGGAGTGGGCACATGAAGGTGGGAGGAACCTCCCCACCAGTGATACCACTGTCTCTATCCCCTGCTGACCTAGGAGGGTAGGAGCCACAGCTGCTTCTGCCCTGCTGCAGCCAGGAGCTGTGGAGAACAGGTGTCAGGGGTACCAGGCTTGGCCAGGGACAGTGGCAGCAACACTCAGGCTCCACCTTCCAGGCTCTGCTCCCTGCCCACCCCATTCCCCTCCAGTCCCCAATGAGTCTAGCTCCCTGCACAGCTGTTCTCTCCAGCACAGGACAGGAGTCACTCATGAGCTGCTCTAGGGAGATCCCCTATGCCTGCATCAGCCAGAGAGAACAGTGGCAGTAGGGAGCAGGTTTGTCCTCATAGAGCCTGCATTTAGGAAACACCTCTGGGGGGAAAGGATAAGCAGGGAGCAGGGGCTGGAAAGAGGAACCTGTGCACTTCCACTACTGCCCCCTTCTGAGACTGACACCCCGCAGGCTGTGGCTGAAGCAGAGCAGGAGCAGCTCTGGGACTCTTTCTGTACCCAGGTCAACCCATGGCAGGAACAAAGGGCGGGGGGAGGGGCTGTCCACCCCTCCCTTCCACCCAGATCTGCCCCTGGGTGACTGTACTTACGATCACATAAGAGCTAGAGGCAGGGTCAGGGCTTTTGCTGATAGAGTAATGTACTTCCTTACAATAAAAATGACAAAACTACAACCCAAAGGGAGACACTGTCTCTCTGTCCTCTTTTTATTCAACGCCCTGCACCCTGGGATCCTGGTCCATGATCTAGGAACATGGCCTCTATAATAACACAAACAGTTCACCAAAAGAAGCAGGTATCTATCCAACCATGATCCCATTTCCTCTGAAGGAGGAATGCACAGTACATATATAGTGTTTTTCTTACCTGCCATACTTTAGACTCCAATTCCTAGGGTAGCTCTACTTTCAACAATGAGGGTTGCGCCCTGGGAAAAAAAGATTAGAAATATTTGTGAGAGACAATCATTGGGAATAACTGATAAAGATTTTAATCAAGAAGCTTCTGTGTTCTTTAACTGCTGACACCTTGTGACATTGAAGGTCAGACTGTATCAGTGGTTCTCAACCTCATTAGACTAATGGCACCTCTCAGAAAATACCACCTCTTAGATTTCACTTATTTTTTGACTACAGAAAAATAATACAGCAATTCTGCTGCTGCAAAGAACTCATGAAGACCACAACAGGATGTTTTTTAACATTATGGATTACTAGTTGAAATCTCTGGATTCATTTTGTAAATCTTGCTTGTACACCTAATTGTGCTAACGTTATGTGGCACCCTGCAGCACCTTTGAAAGGATACCAAGCCACCCCAGGGTGCCATGGTGACCTAGTCGAGAATCCCTGGACTAGATGGTGCCTCCCTCCTCTAGAACACACGTTTCTAGAGAAACTATTTTCCAAAATAGATCAGTCTAATGAAATCCTTTCTTGGCCTGATTGATATGCTACCACAGTCATACCTGGCTAATAAGTAGCAAAGATACCAACTTATTAGTGCACACCCAGAGAGAATTGTCTTGTGATGGCTGCACTATTTGATGAAGATGCAGATATCCACATCCTCCATGTATGCTTTCTTTAAATCAGGACTAAAGCCTGATCCATGAAAACAGATGGGGCATACCTCTTCACCAAAGCAGGTATCATGGTCTTCTTTCTTGCAGCACTTATCTACCATTTCTATAAAACCTGCAATGATTTTTCCCAGTTGTTCATCAGTCATACTGGGCTTGCGTTTAATGAGGTTGACAAGCAATCTGGAATGAGAGCAAAACATAATTAACACAGTTGACACCAGTTAGTCTGATTTGTTGGTGATATTGTATTTCCCTAAGGCCTCTGATGAGCCTGGGTCTACGCAGTGATTTTAGAAATGCCCAGAGCAGCATATTCTCTTGAGTTCTGCTCTGTTCAACATGGACTTGATCTAGTGAAACTGCTGGGAGTCTTTCCCTTAAGTCCAATGGGATTTGCAGTCATCCCTGCATATTGAGTATGAGAAACGTCACCCCAAAAAGCTTAGTCTAAATCAGGGGTCAGCAACCCCTGGCACATGTGCCAGAGCATGGCATGAGAGGCCATTTTGCTTGGCATGCCACAGTTGCCCCAGGCTCTGGGCTGCCTTCCCATGTTTCTCATGCAGTTCACTAGCTCAGACTGGATATTCAAGCAATCCTACCTTAATTATCTTTGCGCTAAAGTATCTTAAAGCCTATGGAATCCTAAAACATAGACTTCTTAACCCCATTTTCTCCCTGGAAACTGAATGAAGCTACAGGAGTTCACTGCAAAGAAAATAAACTGGACTCTTAGAAACTTCTCAGTGTTTGTGGGATGAGTCACATTTACATGATGTAAAGTGAGCTAGTTAATGGATTATGCCCACTCAGGAGCTGGCCCACTAAATTCTGCAGGGTTAACTATAGTCAACACACTAATTATTTGAAACAAGCTAAAGATGTTTTAAGTTTTGCTGTTGTGATTATCTGCTAAAGCAGTCCCATAACCATTTTCTATGCACAGTGAGAATTTATGTTTAATTTGAAACCACTTCTAATTAGGATATTCTGATTCTATGATTTTCAGAAGATTTGTAGTATAAACAAAGATCTTACTTAAGCTGGATTTCTTGTTGTGTTGCAAGAGGAGCACTGCATAAGTTCTCACCAAAGTCAAACATGGCTGGGTTGAATGGGGGAGGCACATAGTTTTCATCCACGCCCAGTTTGGTAAAGCATGGTCTCCTGTTAGCATAGGAGGCACTACAGCAGTGGGCAACTTGATCATTTACAGGTACAGCCTTCTGTCTCTCACACATTTCTTGTAACAGCATGTCCAGCTGAACACAAAGGGAGAGGAATAAAACAAAGATCACAACATTTTTGGCTTGAACATTAACAAGAGTAATAAATGTATCCATGCCCCAAATTGTACAGTCTATGATCTATGAGCTTCCACTATTCCTGAAGCAAAGCTCCAAGGTGAGCACAAAATAAAGACGTCATACATGCAGTTATTCTGGAATTCTTCATAATGGCATGAAGATATAGTCTTGAGGTGATTTTGCTGGACTTTTTGAAGGGCTCTTGGTTGGACTTTTTGAAGGCTTCTTGGCTGGAGTCTTCTCAGGAGTCTTGGCTACAGGTTTTTCTGGAGTCTTGTCTGCTTTCTTAAAAAAAGTGTCCAAGGAAGTTTGGACAGATGTTCTCCAGGGAGATGGGCAACACAGCAAACTTGTTTGCTGGAGTGGTGTCGAATCAGATCAAGTGTTGTAAAGTCAAAACTGACGTCATAAAGTTGAAATGATGTCAATTTATAAACGTCGTAAGTGTGAAATGTTGTAACTCGAAACTTTGTAAGTCGAGGACTGCCTGTAGATGTTGGCCACAATGAAGTGGCTCAATTTATCACTACCTTTTGTAATGGCCACAAATTTGAGTATCTGTGGCACAACAGAAGATAGGGATGTCTGTCTATATGGCTTCATTTTGTACCCCCATAATTTTTTTATGGAGGCACAAAGGTGCTGTCAGCTTCCACCCATACAGTCTGAAGAGAGCTCTGCTTATTTGGCATGGCCTTTAAACATTTCCTGCAGTCAGTCTTTGGAAAAGCATTATTTTATTAAAGCTCTTGTGGTAACTAGCATTTCAGGGCTGAGCATGGAAAGTATTCATCTTGCAGAAGGGTGATATCATTTTTCACGATCTACAGCTAGCCTGCCCTTCAGCTGGAGTACATCAATGTTGGTTTCAGCTGATCAATTCTGGCTTCTTCCAACTACATATTTAGCCTTGAACATTTTCTTTTACTATTAAACTTGTTCCACATTGAGATTTCATTCCACTAGTTTCACAAATTGTATCAGTTTTCACCCAATTCTGACCACATCTAGGTCTAGGACTTGCTCAGAAATGCTATAACCTTATTTTGAAAGTGTTAAGGCTATTGGAGTGCATTATATAAGCACAGTTTTTCTTTAATGGATTACTTAGTACTTCTCAACTGAAAAAAAAGCAGCCAGAGATTCAATCCAAATTAATGTGGGTTTTATTTATTTCAGAGGAACAAAAGCCAAGGTAGGATAAAACTTTAGCCTGTAGTAGGAAGTTGGACTTTAAGGTCTCCTAACCCAACTTTTCTATGAAAAATAAAACTGACATCAATGGGAATGGCTTTGGGTGCCCAGCTTCCCTGAATATGGGTAAATTGTGGATGTAAGGGCTGATTTTGAGGCTGCTATATTTGAAAATATTGACAAAAGTTTCCAGGGCATCATACATAGTCTTCTTCAAAAATCCATAGCAATTTTGTGGACAAAATGGCTACTGACAGTAAGTTCAGGCAGATTTCATAAAAAACTACTGGTGAAGTACACAGAAAACCTGCTGAAGAGGATACAAAGATAAAGAAAGAAGTCTACTCACATATCCCTCACCACAAGCTATATGTCTGTTTTCAGGTTCCTGGCAGCATTTGACACCAATTAATATCATTTTCTTTGCGACTTCAAGCATTGTTTCTGTTGATACCTGAGGCATTTTCTTGGTGTAGCGGATAAGAACCCTGAAGTCACAAGAGCCCACACTGAATGATCACTGTTGAACAAAATCTTAGCAGCAAATCACCAAGCTAGGCCAGTTTGAGAAAGTACAGTTCAGTCTGTCCAAAGCAGTACTAACTTTTCTCCATTTCAGCAGGGACAGCAGCTGCAGCAAATAAATCCCACCCTCCCTATCCTCCTAATGTGGCCCATCTCTCCGTACTGCCTTTGAAGCTCTTTCATCCCAGCACTGGAATAATGGCTTTTTCTAAAGTGCCAGCAGAACATAGGTTATGCCAGGGGCAATGCATAGGGGATGCATGGGGGTGCACATGCACCCCCTGAGAGCACTGGTACACCTCCTGACATGCTGCGCACCCCCCTTGCTGGTGCCCCCCTGCAAGTGCCGGCCATGGAGTGGGAGCACCCTGGCCACTTCCAGAAGCCCGCGAGATCAGTTGTGGAGGGGATCCCCCACCCTGGTCAGTGAGATCAGCTGCAGGGGAACCCCCCTGGTCACTGACTGGTTGCTGGGGGGGGCATGTGCTCCTCCTGAGTAAGGTGGCACCAGTCACCCATGGGTTATGCCATTGTTCTGCTTATCTGTGCCTAGGAAATTTCACCTTTACCAAATTCAAACATTTATGATTTAAATGAGAAGCTACTTTTCAGAAGCTACATACACTTTTAGGAATTCAAATTCTCCTTCTTTAAGAAGGTCACAGTTTGCCTTTACAAGGTTTTCAGTCTCTTGGATGTGATTTTGAAATTCTTCTTCCTGCCAGGAAATATAATGCTTGTTAGCAGCCTATTATGTAAGGTGACATACTCTTAAGAGTGGCACACTCTGCTCCCTTCCAAACAAGTTTACATCCAATGTAGCTGCTTTTTTGCTCCTGTTAGTTCTAAGGAATGGTTCTGGCCTTTATAATTACAGCAACTGAGAATCCTATCATGTTTTTATGGTATAGTTGGCTAAGTATATACTATTGGTAGACTGCAAGGACAGATATGGCAGGTCATGACTAGAATGACCTGGCCCTGAATGTTCCTGTGGGCCAAGCAGTATCCTACCTGGCACCTCAGTAGGATCTCTGCTAGACACATTACCCCCACAAACAGTATATATATAGCCACCTTAATGTTGTGCTGCAGGCAGGGTAATTAGCTCTAAGCCATGTGCCCTACTCCAATCTGGGAGGTTATACCTATAGAATTAGTCCAGGTAAGTCTACACAGTGCTACCTCATGCCAACATAGCACTGCACTAATTTAAGATTTCTTGCAATGACTAAAGATGGCCATGGATTCAGAGGAGCTGAGAAACCATTATTGTAATGTTGTTACCCTCACAGGACCCCCTATATAAGGTAGGGTAGTTTTCCTAATATACTGATGGGGAACTGAAGCAGGAGCCAAAATGACATGTCCAAAATCTATGGCAGAGCAAAGCATTGCACCCACTGTCATGATGACTCACAAACTAATGCCACAACCATGGTATTGCCCTTCTCAGGAATGGATTCCACTATTTTTTGCAATTTGCAATGTCTGTTATTCAAAATAATGTCACAGTGTCTGCAGAGAGAGGTAGTTAACCACATTAGCCTGAAACTATGCAAAAGGCAGAATAGATTTGCACCTTATAGGCTAACTAAATCAGAGATGTATAGCATGAATGAAGCCATAGTCTCTTCTCTATATGAATACTCTGTTACCAAGGTATTCATAGTACTTTTTCTCTTATTTTGTATTGGGATTTTTCTAGCTTCAATTTATTTCCTTTGGATCTTGTTAGAAGTGTATAAAGTAAAACCGTTTTTACCTTCCGAAACTCCATTTGAATGCTGTCTCACTTTAAAATCTGTGCCTACTTATACTGCTGGCTCTTTGGCACAGAAATTATATATTTGTACATTCATGATTCTAATACACTTTAGTAGCTCTGAAGACTACATTCTTAACATCCCCAAGCTAACAGTTAGTAGAAAAATAAGCTTCTCCAAGGCTGTCCCTGAACTCCCAATCAGAGAAGCCGTCTCAGAGTCAGCAGATAGTTCTTTCCCTGTGCTCAGTGAATTTTTGGCCTCTCTGCAGAAGCTACTGGCCCAGATATCGCTGAGGTTGCTTTAATAATGTGGGTGTATGTTTATTAGGAACCTGACTGTGGCCATCATGTTATTTTATGTATGCTACTCTACCTGTCCAATTGTAAGAGATTTAACGGAGGTAAATCAGTTCATTATAGTCACTATCTAAACACTGTTTTTTTTCCTATTGTGTGAACAAATAGTGGAACCTACCGCTTTTCCATAACATTGAGAAGAGTCTTCAGTTTTGCAACACTTTTTCAGGAGGTCTTCATATTGCTTAGCAATCCTCAGAAGCATCAGAGTAGAGAACTCTTGGTGCCTTCTTGAATAGTCATAGAGAAACCTGTAACATTTAAAAACTGCCAGCATTAGAAAACTGAAGAATAAAATAGATACAGCTTCTCCAATGAGCACTGTCACTAAGTGCCTGCTCTTTTGATATGAGCAAGTTAGATGGACAACAAGATTTGAAATGGCTTTTGTCTTTTTAGCAGCATCTCTTGACAATTGTAAGGAAGTATCCTTCATCTTAGGAGAAGTGACCACAACTCTAATAAAATATATTTATTTTGGGGATGCTTATGATAGCTGCTTAGACATCAAAGTACTCCATGATTTTATCCTTATCTTTGAGCATAGATTATGATGATCTGAAATGCAGAGTAGAAGATATTGTGAATGTGATCTTGTCTAAGGCCTGTTCAAACTCCCTTTTCAGTTCACCTCAGTGAAAGATAGACCAGTCTCTTAAGCCAGTTTTCACACTCATATGACTCCATTGGCTTGAATGGATCCATTCCCAATTTACACAAATATAAGTGAACACCAGGAAAAATCCTTAATCTTAAAAGTTCAATGCACTAAAACCAGAAAAGGGATTCATGTTCTGATTAACTGTGTGTAGCATACTCTCTGTACCAGTTTCTCAGCAGGAGTAAAATGACATCCATTCAGAGCAGTCACCAGTAGAAGATCAAGCCCTCATAATTTAGGCATTTGAATGGATCTACTTATTGCCTGCCAGACCAGCTACCTGTGTACAAATATAACAAACTGGATATAAAAATGTGCAACGTTTGTATTACGTACTCTCCCATAAACTTTTTGTGCTCTTCCTCAAAGTGTTTGCACACATCTGGATCTTGTATGTATTTCTCGGCTATTGGAGGCAAGTCTGCAGGTTTGTCATCAAATTCTGCTTGAACAACACACTGACACTTCTCCACCAGTGGCTTCTCACAGCATTCTCTGATTTTACTAGAGAAGACCTCTTGGTTGGAACAGATATGTTCCACAATTTGTGCCTGCAAAAGGTAGAATATAACACCAGTTAAAAGGCATTCTGGCTATTCTTTTTCTTACCCTTTCAAGGCTCAATTTAGCACTGCTCCTACCCCTTTTCTAAGAAAATGTGTGACTCCCTAGAGATGTTTTTCAGGAGGCAGAAATCAGTAAAGCACAGCCTAGAGCTGATAGAGCACCAGCCATACTCCCAGCTTTGGACCCTAGGGTTTACTGGGACAATGACATTCCTGCAACACTGAATGACTCACCTTGAGGGAGGCTATGCTATCCCTTAGTCTTTGGAAGTTAATGGGGCGGGTGAAGAGATTCAGCAATCTTCAAGTCTCCTTTACCCTGCCAACCTATGCTGTTCAATGTAGGATGTGTCAACTACCACTACATGGTCTAGTCCTGGATGCTACTGGCTTGTGGGTCTGCAAGGTACACACCAGTCCACACGGACAGGCATTTTACAATAAATCATAGAGCGCACACTCATGACTGGTACTGGACTCCTTGCCAAGGTGAACTGCCCTGTAAAGCTGAAAAGCACTTATTGCAAGAATATTGTTAAACTGGTGCTGGCAGATCCCTTCAAAATTTAGTCTAAAAAAGTATGCTTTGACTCTCCCTCATGACCCAGAAATAATGCTCTGAACCTCCTCCCTCCCCATCTTCATGACTGAATCTAAAGTGCAGCGCTTTACAAAGAGGGCAGGGGCAAGAGTTTTCTGCTACTGCAGTGATTCTCAATATGTTTAGGCTCAAGGCATTCCTTGTTAGGCTCAAGGCATCCCTCCATAACTTGTGTGTATTGAGCAGCATCCCATCAAAAAATAATATATTTATTACACTGCTTATCTCCTTGCAGAGGGACTGGACAATGCCTCAGCCTGCTCTTATCTGTTTATCTCCTCATACCTGCCCTTTTTGTTCACATTATGTGGCATACTTCAAAAGATCTTGCAGCTTCCTGTTGAGAGTCACTGGGCTACTGGCTTCCTTGAACCTCCCAGTGCACTGCAGCATCTCAAGATGCATCATCTGTTTCCCTTGATTTGATGTGCAGATTTGAGCTTGGCAGGTCCAACAGGCAGCTTTTATTCAAAGTGATACCTTCTGTCTAAGGATTACAACCAGAGCCAGTAGAAAAATGACTCATTTGAAATTATGAGGGGACTCCACTTGAACTAGCTATGGCCATTTACAGACGACACTTTAAAGTAGGTTTAAAGTGAGTTAAATGCCTTTTGCACCACTTTAGTAGCACTACTGTTTGCACATTCAGTGGTGTATTGAGTGTTAATTCCAGCCGCTGTAGCACATTCAGTGGTGTAATGCACCTTAAATTACTTTGGGATGTAGCAATTTACTTTGGGGCACTGCAGAGTAAAACACCTCCAAGGAGTTTTAGCTTCCTACCCTACAGCCACAGAGGGAAGCACCAGGCTCCGTGAGGCTCAGGAGCTGTACAGGCAGACCATGCAGGCAGCCCAGCAGCAGCCCGGGAAGGCAGGCTCTGCAGAAATAAAAAAAAAAATGGGGTGAGCCTGAACATTTTTTTTTTTTGTCCCCCAGAGCTTGCCTGCTTGCCTGAGCTGTGAAGGGGCCCAGTGCTTCCTTCTGCAGCTGTGGTGCCCCCTGGGTGCCTGGCTGCCCGAGCCGGGTGCCTGCAGGTGGGTGCCAGCTGGGGGAGGGGCCCCCGCTGCCGTGGAGGGAAGCACCAGACCACCCCCCCACACACACCTACAGCTCAGGAACCACTCTGCCCACCAGCAACTTGCACTCCTCTACCCACTGCTGGAGAGGCAGGTAAGGATCGAGGTCTGACATGAATGTATACAACACAGGGGTTTACTTCGCCTTAAACTGAAGCAGTGTTTTTAAAAAGCCACCGCTTCAATTTAGGGAGAATTATCATGTCATATACCATGTCATATACAACCCACCTAAGGATCTCGCCCTGAACCTATAAGAGATAAGGATGTAGCCACTCAGTCCTGGAATGTGAAGATGAAGAGCTGTAAGTAAATAGGCAATAAGAGATGGCATCCATCCCAGTTCTTCGACTATGTCAATACTTTGAAAAAATAAATAAATAAATGAACCTACCCGGTCATCCATGCACTCTACCATGTCACCATCACAACATTCCTTGTGTTCATCAGAAATATCCTCTGCTGTTTTGCAAATCTCTGTAAATGGAGCCTTTGGATATTTTTGGCTAATCAAAGCAAGAGTGCTGAAGAAACAGATAAAAATCAGAAACACCTCTGTCTGATGCAAAGCTCAGCACTGAAAACAAAAGTTGCAAATCACTGAAACTGAGGTTGCTCTAAATTATGGGGCTTTGACAATTTTTTTTGTACTTAGCAGCTTTAAATTGAGGTTACCAATCTCTCTCAAAGATGCTGTAGATAAACCTTAACTTGCTAGCCTTGTTGTAGGGGTCACTGAAAGAAATCAGTCTTGTGTTTACACAGGAGGTCAGACTAAATCAGAAGAAAGACCTCACTGGGCCCTAACAGCATTAAAATTGACGGACTGTTCTGCAATGCATAGCATGCTCATTGATTCCAGGTTTAGAGTCTGGGTTTGTTTAACTGTTCCCAAAAGTGCCCAACTTCATATTCATATTATAAAAAGAGGCATTTCCCCTGCAATTTCTTAGTCAGTCTAATAAAAGTATCATCTCTGAACCAAGAGTTCTAGAGTTTTGCATTTCTTTTTGTCTCAGACCAACACGGCTACCAAATAAACCCCCAACCTCATATTTTTGAGTTATCACATGTAAGCTTCACATGTAGGACAAATTTGACAATATGTACATGGAACACATCAAAGTATCTGATTCTGAGGCAAATTATGCAATCTTACATAAGGCCACAGCTGCCACAAAGCGAGTTGTACTCTAAAGCTGTTTGTTTTTTCCAGATAATTAGCCTTCCATTCACAATCCCCGTCAGCAAAGAATATGCACTTTTCCCCTTTGCTGTCTACAAAAACTAAGCTGCAATTCTATTACACACTGAAGTAAATAGGTCTTGTGTTCAGACAGCACTGCAAGAACAGGCCCAGATTTGGCAAAAGACTATTCTGGTTTCATCTTTATGCAAAGTAAAGAATAGCTTCTGGAATTGAAATTCTTTTGACATTATTATGAGGGTGATCCTCAAACCCAGTAAGTGCAAAGGAGTTACACGGATACATCAGAGAAAGGCATCAGAAGTGAATATTTATGATTTTAGGACAACCAGTTTATTTTGTTGTAAAATAGTGGCAAAGACACTTACTCTGCCTTGAAAATTCTCTTTCCAAACGTCTTCAAGACTCTGCAATTATATGTGTGTATCTTGTCAATTTGTCTGGCTCTGTCCTTTAGGGCAGTGACCTACCATAGAAGAAACAACTTGTGAGATGAAGTGGTCACACTTAATGGAAGAAACTTAGAAACACCTAGAGCTTTTTCCTGATTAAATGGTGAGAGCCCAAGCACCAACAGTTCTTATATGAACTGCTGGATTGTAAATGGCTAACTGTTGGCATATATGTCTGTGTGCAAACACTCTCTCTCACTTTCTCTCCGAGTTGCACCTTGCACTGCAACTAAGTATTCCTAATGTTTTCAATGAAATGACACAGCCCTAAACTTTTAGGGAGTCAGGTGAATCTGTCTTACACCCAGACAGTCAAACTGAAGCCACCGGGGCCTGCATACAAATGAAGACACAACCTAGCCCATAACATTCAAAATATACAAAGGCCTAGACAGTAATTTTTACCAGAAACCCCATGCAGAGGGACATTTTTTTGCTGGTCTACACCAAGCAAATTTGTCTCTCTCGTCCATGCACACTCAGTGCAAACAGAGCAGAACCAGGCCACTATCCATTACCTGGTTCCTCCCACCCACTCCTTGTTCACGAGCTTGAGGCATGTGGTAATAGGATCACAGTTCCTGTTTACTCTTGCATGCCTGGACCAAAGTTGCAGAGATGACTTCCCAGGATGTAAAGGAATATTTATTTCTTTTGCACATGTGCACTGACCAGGTTTCCTGCTTTCTTACCCTAGATGATTACTCCAGGACCTTTCCCTTGCTACTTCTGAGCAATGCTAATAACTGGTAGACAAAACAGGCTCAGAAAGGGACATAAAACTATGGAGGGTTTTTTTTGCTTTTGTTGGGGGGGGATTGTAGAAAATATATCCCTTTTTCATGAGAAATATCGTGAAATTAGTAGAATGTGAAATTCCTTTAACTATTTTTGCAGCCTAGTCTGTTGCAACTTGCCATTTCAATTAAGTAGTTTTCTGAGAAAGATCAGGTGCATGTTAATACAAGACTCCATTTGTAGTATGACAAACTTTCACACAAATAATAAAAATGGTCATCTACCACAAATTGTAATGCTGCACTAAAATCAAAGTACTTTCTGAAAAATTCAGAAATAATGACAGTTCTGGGCAATGACATAGCTTGGAAAAACCTTGCAAGGGTTTTCACAATAGTATGTAAAGATTTTCCTTGTCATTTTTATAAACCACTAACTTCATTCCCAGTGATCTGTCATTCATGTGCACGGCTCAAAAAAGAGCCTAACAAGTATGGGTACTATGCAGCAATTGTGAGAGTGATCAGGAAGGCTTTTGTTTTAATTTTGTTTTAATTCCAAGCTTCTAAGAAGTTATCGAAAACAACTATGACAGAAAGAAACTTAAATACTCATAAAGCTGACAGTTTTTTCTTACACCTAAATTTGTAAAACAAACAATTCTGTAGGTCAGAAGGTAAATGTTAGTGTATAATCCATATACCACTTGGTGTTTTACATGGAAAATCTGAATACCTTTTCATCCAAACAAGCACCAATGTCAGTTCTTGCACAACAGGTTTCAACTGCATGCTCATAGTCAATAGACAAGGCAAGAATTGTAGGGGCATAAACAAAAGGAAATCTTCTTGCAACCCTATAGATGTAGCTGTAATTAAAGAAACATACAAACACACATATTTCAGCAAAAAAAGTATCAAATCTATAGAAATCATTTTTGAGACAACTTCTATTTTTAGAAAACAAGACTTTCCTTGTGGCATGCCAACCAATGATACATATAGATTGCATCCAACCATGTCCTAAGTAGGATTAACTAATGACTGCCATTGGGCAAATTTCTTTCTTTTTTTTCAGCTACTCAATTCATTGTGGATTGTTTTTGTCTTATTGTTTTCAATAATAAAATGGAAGTGGGGGGAGGAGGGCAGGGTGAAAGAATAGGCAGTGGGAAAGCAAAACTAGAAAAATTACTGGGTAAGGTTCCTTTTTTGCCCTAAAGTCAAAATTTCTGGACACATTTCCACAAATATGTGTATCTAAAGAAATGTAATTTTTCACTTGAAAAACATTCCAAATGGAAAAACAATCCTAGAATTGAGTGAACATTTCATCAGAAGTTCAATTTTGAAGGAGTTTGACCAGATGCTTATTCAAACATCTGCACAAGTAATAGACTGTTTGTAACATGCATGTACAACTATTTCCAAGTTAATTAGAGGCAAATGTTTTACCATGTGGTCCTGTGCATCAGAGTATCTCATGTACCTTGCTGAATATCTCTATATAAAGTAAAATTCAGTGTTCTTACTGTCCCAGGAATGACTTCTTGTCCTCATGAAATTCTCTGCACACTGCCTCAGGTTCTGGTTTTTCAAATGGTTTAATGAATGTTGGGTAGGCTGTTCTGAATGACAGAAAGCACTGGTTTCTTTCAGGGTCAGCTTTAGTGCAACAGTCAGCCATCTCCCCATATGAATCATGAAGCGTTTGTATTTGGCAGATCTCATCCAAGAAAATAGCAGGCTAAAGTGAGAGGGGTAGAATACATACATTGCCAAGGGTCAGCATTAAGGTTGCTTATGGAAAACGTGATGTACATCTTCATTTTGAAAACTCATTTAAGTTTCTTTAACAGAAGATACAGCTGAACATACTCTATGACTTTTTCAATAAAAATTGTCATAGATCCATGACTGAAAACAAAACTGGTTCAAATATTCAGTTCATTTCTGGATGTTTTTGGAATTCTATAACCAATGACTATTAAGGCTGTCAGTTAATCACAGTTAATGCGCATGATTAATGTGTTAATTGGTTCTTGCATTAGTTTTTGTAATGCGTTAATTGCACATGTGGTTTTGGAGCCTGGGCCCAGGCTCCGTTCCACTCAGCAGGGCACAGGTGTCAACACAGAGGACCGCAGAGCAGCCCAGGCGCAGGCTCTGGGCAGCTGCAGCAGAGGAGGGGAGAAGCACACACAGACACAGACACAGACACAGACACAGACACAGATACACACAAGCAGCCACAGCCTGCACACTGCATGGAGAGCAGGGCCACGCCAGTAAGTCTGTGGAGAGGGAGGGATGCAGAGAGAAGGAAGGGGTGGCAGGGGAGAGGGAAGGGGTGAGGGGGCAAATTGAGGCCCACACAGTGAGGGAGAGAGTGAGGCAGCGGCTGGGGTCAATGGGACCCAGAGCCAGGGCAGATCATGGGACAGAGATGTGGGTGACTCATCCAGGTGTGCATGGAGGGGTGGGGGCGGCTCCCCGCCACTGGGTGCACCCCTGAGGGAGGCATGTGAGCACATGCCCCTCAGATTTGCATGCAAGGTGAGGGTGGGTTGCCTGCTGCAGGCCAGGGCTCTGCACTCTGCTGCCTTTGCCACACACACATCCACAGCCCCCAACACCTTCACAAATTCCCTCCTACAGGCATCCCACAACCATACAAAGTACCTGCATAATTTTGCATAATTCTGAGTTTTTCTGTGCATAATGTTTGAGTTTTTACTTGTGTAATTAAAATCGTGATTAATTGTGACTATTTTTTTATTTGCACAACTATTCACAATCGCATTTTTTAATCGTTTGACAGACCCAATAGCTATATTACCTTAGTTGATCACTTCAGTTCCTTATGATCAGGAAGCACTGGCTAGCATTTTAACTTGGATTGACATCTCTGAGATCTGGTACTAGAGCTAAAAGTTGTAACTTGGACCAGTGGGCACATTTACATGAGATGTTACTGTGCAGTAGCAACAGGCTCATTGCTACCACACAGTAGGGGTGGCGGGCACTAGCCATGACAGTGACAGTACTGCACAGCAGTATTCTAGTATTATTAGAATAATAATACTATACACGGTAGTATAAAAAAAGAACCGTGCAGGGATGGTAATGCACAGTAATGCTGGTTACTGTGCAGTCATTTAGTACTTGATTAAGCAAGTACTAAAAACCTGCACAGTAACAACTGTGCACTCTGCCACCCATTTGACAGGGCCAGTGTTTCCTTCTAGCAAGCACTATGTTTGACATGATGACATCCATTTCTAGGCTTTTAAATATCTTCAAATATCTGGCCTCTGGTGACTCAGGAGTTTATATCGCAGAGGAAGTCAGTGGGACATAAGCTACTGAGTCATGAAGGTATTTTGAAATACTCCATTCTTACATAGGATAAGCCTGTTATTTTAGAATATACACCCTGCCAAGTGTCTTATTGGTAATATCAAAAAAGAAAGCTTTAAACAGGTCACAGTATTCATTACAGTATTGCAGTATTATTTTAACAACTCACTGCTGTATCATGCTGTTGTGTTTGCAGTGCAAATAGAGAAGAAACAGAACCATGGATGTTTTACCTACCACTGATTTTGTGCATCCCGGTGCATCCTCATTGGCAACACAGGTATGTGCAAGATCGACAACAACCTTCACCAGTTTATTTAAGGATTCATAGGAGCACTTCTGGAGGTACTGAGCAAATGTGATCAGGGTACTGAAATATAAGGCAAAATTTTAAAGGTGATTTTTTTTTTTTAAAAACAGCCCCTTTCTTCACATGCAAGGTTGAATTCAGAATATTTGCTTCAATCCATGGCAACGAAAGCTGAGAGAGGACCGCTGATTAAAATTCTCTGAATAAAGTTGGTGGGGACCAAATATTCTAAGGGTCTTTGGTACAGGTGCACACAATTTTCTGTGGACAATACTAAGAACGTGAGAGCAAGACTGTGCATCCAAATGACTTTCATGTAGAAGCTGAGTAACCCTAAACTCATAATATCACAATCTACATCCATTTTAGTTCCTTCCCCCTCAATTCATGCATGTATTGTTTTGTGTTTTAAGCCTCATCTCCATATCAACAACCTTACATGGAGCAAAAGCAGGTTCAGCTGGGTTTTAATTATCTGTGTGTTTCCTGTTACTTGTAACCAGGACACTTGCAAATGTCATAAATTATTATTGCCATTAATAAAATTAATTGATAATAGAAAGTTGCTTCCCAAAAAGGTTTCTGAGGTGGTTTTTGCCTGTCTCTATTCATCTTCACCTGCCACTACCTCCCCCCTTTCCCATAAAAAACCACTGGTCTAGCTGATTTATGCCTGTAGAGGCCAATGAATTTCACTATGTGTCCTGCATTATGTGTCCTTCCACCCATCAGTGGTTAGCAAATCCTCTGAACTGCAAGGCCTGATATGCATGGGGGGGGAGGGAGGGGTATGTACAGGTTCAGGCTCGTACCAGGAACACACTAGTGAGTGATATTTCCACTAGCCCAGTCATCAGGAAAGTGGCCTTACTTGTGAATGCTTCAGGATTCTAGGAAGCTGCAAATATATTTTGTCTGGCTTGATATTTAGAAGGCTATTGCTTCAGTCGTTTTCCCTGGTTTTGTGGCTATATTTATTTTATCATTGCTTATCACATTTTCCACATCAAAACATGTACAATATTGACATTACAAATTGTAATTCATGTAGTCTCTTACACTGATTCAAAATTCTCTTCCTTTAAGTTGTTGAAACGGTGGGCTATCTCGCTTTTGTGTTCTGGGGAACAAAGACAAGAACAAGGTTCACACTTACATATCCCACATGTCTGGAATCCTGCCCCTCTAGCAAAGATGTTTGGAGCCCATGGGGTTGGGATTTGCAACTCCATTTGAGTGGGAGAGTTTCAATTGACTGCAAAGGGGGCAGGCTTAGGGCATGGGCACACAGGTTACTGTGAAGTACACTGGCATGTAAACTAACATCACCTTGGCAAGTTCACAGCACCTACTTATGTGCACACTGGTTACTCTACAGTAAATGTGAAGTAGCTTATCCATTTTCACAGAGATGTGAGCTACCTTCTATCTACTGTGGAGAAAAAGGATGCACATGGGCATTTGCCCATTGAGTAGCTATCACACCGCAAAAATGTACCCTAACTGAATGGATTGTATACCCATACATACCTTAAAAACAATGCAAATAATTTAATCTGTTTACTACTAATTAGCCTGGCCAAAACACAGGCTAAGTAAATAAACTTTGTATATCGTTTCTGATTTATAGCTTATAGTAAATACAACCTGGTATGTTTCTGATTTAACAGTTAATTGCCTATGTGGATTTCCATTTAAGTTACAAGAAAAAGTGTAGTATCTCAAATATTGCTCTCTATTGGGAAATGTAGCCTTTGGGTTATAGCCACTACCGTCGGTATTAGCCAAGGAGAAGAAATAGTCACCATTTGATTTTTAAAGAATGTTGTTGGAAGGTTTTCATTCAAATTCAAGAGTCCAGTTGCTCTGAATTCCTAGTTCACTGTATGCAAATCACAGGTTTTCTTTGGGAGAAGCAGGCATCAGATAAACTTTTATATTTGGCATGGATGTACTTCCAGTTATACAGTGCTGCTGCTCTGGAAGCATCCCACAAACTGCTGCAGTGTGTGTGGTTGGGAAATTTTAACCCAGCACTACAATGCAACCATCTTTGCAATATGCACCCCATTCTTCCCTAGGAGAGCATTTACACAAGTCACTTTATTGTGAAGTAGTGTAGTTTACTGCACAGTAAGCATTTACATCTACATATACATGCTTACTGTGCAGTAAACCGCACTAATTGTGAGTAAATTTGCTAAAATGCAAGTACCAAATTTACTTGTGATTACTAACTGCGCAATAGCGCTTACATAGACACCTGACTGAGAGTAAATCTGTTCCCACTCAGCCAGCCCCCTAGAGGCAGGAGATTTCTCCCTGTCCCTGGGAGCTGCCTGCTGCCAGGGCAGGCTCTGCCACTGAAGCCCAGGCAGGGACTATGTCCCCCTGGCCCAGCACCAGGAAGCTCCAAGCCCCCTGCTCCAAGATCACGATTGGGAAGTGCGGGTTGGGAGATTCTTATCTTCCAGCCCCTGTTTTGCCATTGTGATTGGGTAGTGTGGGGCTAGGGAATCCTTATCTCCCAGCCCAACCTCCGCGGTAGTGTGGCTCGGGTTGGGAGATGAGGATCTCCCAGCACTGGCCCCACTCTCATGGAGTTGGCACTGGGAGCTCCCTGCTGGCGGGGGCTAGGGAACCTGTTCCCCTCCCAGCTCCATGATCACAGAGCTGGGTGGGGAATGGTTTGGGAAGCCTATTACCTGCTCAGCTCCATGAGCATGGAGCTGGTCCCCATCCAGCTCTGCACTCATGAAGCTAAGCAGGGATCAACCTCACTAGCCCATTCCCCACCCAGCTCCACACTCACAGAGCAAAGCAGGCAACAAGCTCCCTAGCCTGTTCCCCACACAGCTCTGTGCTCATGGAGATGAGCGAGGAACAAGCTCCCCAACCTTTTCCCCACCCAGCTCTGCAATTGCAGAGCTGATCGGGGAACAGTCTCTCCAGCCCACACCCTGCGCAATTGCAGAACTGGGGCTAGGAACTGTCCTGGTCAGGGGCAGGCCCCAGCCTCTCACCCAAGAAGTGCAGGGCTTGGAAAGAGCTGCAGGGGTGGGGCAGATCCCAGCCCCTGCCCTGAGCCATCAGTGGGGCAGCTAGTAACAAACCCCTGGCTGGGCAGGGAATCACTGCCCAGCTGGGAGCTTGGTGCTAGCTGCCCCACTGGCAGATCGGGGCAGGGGGCTAGGACCTACCCCTGCCCTGCAACTCTTTCCAAGTCCCCTGCCCTGATCAGGGAGCCAGGGATGGGAACTCCCTGCTGCCAGGGCAGGGGGACATTGTCCCTGCCCCAGCAGCAGGCAGCCCCTCAGGGGCAGGGAGCAGTGTCTCAGCCCTGGCCAGGAGACAGCTGTGTCCTGGCCCAGTGCTCCCTGCCAGCCCCTAGGCTAGCACCCAGGGGGAGCCTAGAGCTCCCCATGGTGGTGGCAGTGGCCCATTGAAGGGCCTCTGGAAGTGAGAGGAGTTTTTGCTCTTAGGAGCAAATCTGCCCCCACTTCCTTACATATGTAGACGCCTGCCTGGAAGCATTTAGTCTTAAGTAGTTTACTCATAAGTAAACTGCTCCCAGATTTTATGCATGTGTAGACACACCCTAGGAGGACTAGTTATGTTTCTGGAAGTGAAGAATAACCCCTACTCCCCCCACCCCCCAACTGAAGCTAATGAAGAAAACTTGGGGAGGCAGCACACAATTATTTGAGCTGGTTGGATAATGAGTGGGGATCACACTGAAAAGTTCAGCAGAAAGCAAATATTAGTATGTTTATATTATTTTAAGCAGATAGTTTTCACTTTTTATTAAAAGCAGCCAAAGCCAAAATGCAGTAGATATTTTTGCTGCAAGTGGAGGCTGTTCAGTCAAAATATAAAAAAGTTTCAATTAAAGTTTTTAGATTTGGAGGTTTTCCATTTAAGAAGAAAAAAAAAGCTTTTTAAGAAAGTAGACTTTTCCTACAAAGATTTCTCTTTATTCAAAAATCCAGTTGGCATAACATTTGATTCAAAACCCATGTTAGTCAACGGGTATTTTTTCATTGATCTGAATGGACTTTGGAACAATAACCATAAAGTTTAGTTCTGAAATTCTGCAAAGTTCAATACAAAAAATATAAGCACTGAAGTAATGCTACAAACCTTGCAAGGACACAACAAATAGTTAATGCAAATCTTTCTCACCTGCCTCTCGAGCAAATCTTTTCAGATCCTTGGATGCAGCAAAAGTGAAGAGAAAAATAAGAGATATTAATGCTATATACTTCATGGTTGCAGCTTATGGGGTGGTGAAGGATGATTCAAAAGTACCAGAAAGATTGCAGGAAAAATATTAATTTATATATTTTTCTCAGTCAACATCTGTAAACCATTAACCATACTGCAGGTATTTGTAACTTTCCATTGAATTGGAAGATTATTGCAAAACTGTGAATATCCTTGACAAAAATAGTGATAAAATGATTTGTTTAACATGTTTGTGATCTGTGCCTTTCTATCGTGACAAGACCTTGTAAATTCTACGACCCAGCACCCACACAAATAAATAATTGCTTAAATTATTTGTCCAGTTAAAACAAGTGATTTGAGGGATTGCATTAATATGTCATTTAGCCTAAGATACAGAAACACCTCAAACACTTATTTTTTTCACTAATGTTCGCTTAAAAATGATCTAGACTGATGTTATGAGGTAGTGGTCTGCCCAGCTAAAATGCTTCTTTTCAGAAATTCACTCCTGAATGGAGGTATCTAATAGAGTCAATTAAATTTAATTTATGGAAGATGAGAAGCAAGAGTCATTGGGACACTCCGGTTCCCTTGCACTACTACAAAAACAGAAGTAAAGTAGATGGCTAAGCCTGAGCCTTGTGGGACTCCATGACATCTACCTCTACTCCTGTGTCTAAGCATTCTGTGACCTGGTTATAAAAAGAAACAAGGTTAGTCAGGCACGATCTACCTGCAATGAATCTGTGCTGATTTCCTTTCAGCATTATTTCCCCTGCTGGGCTCCCACAAATGTGAACCTTAATGATTTTTTTCCTGAGTTTCTTTTCCTTCTCAAATTCTCTTCCAATTAGGGGACAGGGTCCCCATTATATAATTAGCAGCTCTGTAGCTTGCACTCAACCACTTCACTCAGATATGGGGTTAGGGACTGTAATAGGTCCCAGAGGCTCCTGTTACTTTAAGAGGAGAAACTAAAGCAGAAAAAGCCTCAGGCAGCTGAATGGGGTTAGCTGCAGGAGGGAAGGCAGGAAAGGGATGGGTCAGAGTGAGTGGGTCATGCTAGAGGATAGGCTGGCCATTTAGGTCGACCTGGACAGGCTCGCAAGATGCGTGGATCAAAACCTGATGGCATTCAACATGGAGAAATGCAAGGTGCTCCACCTCGGGAGAAAAAACCCACATCATACTTATAGGTTCAGCAGTGCCACACTCAGTAGCACCACAGCTGAAAGAGACTTGGGGGTCATGATTGACCACAAGATGAACATGAGCACCAATGCAATGCCGCAGCCAGCAAAGCAAACTCTGGCTTGCATTTATGGATGCATCTCAAGCAAGACCCAGGAAGTGATTCTCCCACTTCCAGAGGAAAGATCTCTACAGCAAGACAGCTGTAGCAAGATCTCTGCAGCAAAAGGTGACTGGCTTTGATCCTGCTACATCTAGAAGCAGCAAGTAAGGAGCTGAGGGCTGACAGGGGACTAGGACTGAGGATGGATACGGGTTTTGGTATGCAGCCAGTGAGCTAAGAGTTTTTTAGTTTTAGCCAGAGTATTTATGTTTTTGCTTGATTCACGGGCAGTTTGGGTTGGAACTATTGGGAGGGAGGAGATCCCAGTAGTGCCCTAGCATGGCAGAAACAAGATCAAGGAGCCCAGTGGCCTGACAGGGCAGAGGCGGGGCCAAGGGTGCACATCCCAAGAGGGTGAGCAAGGGAAGGCCTAAGCCAGGAGTGCTAAGCCCAGAGCCCAACAGAAGTGAGACCATGGGCCAGGGGCCTGAAGCCCAAAATGGCAAAACCAGGGCCTGAAAGGGCAAGACTAGGGCTGGACCCCAGAAGCCAAGTCAAGTTGCAGCACCTACATAGGTGGTAGGAGGAGAATGTTTGACAGGATGCAGGAAAAAATGAAACTGAAGAGACTTAAGCTTTACCACTTCAGGCACTGGTTGCCTTCTGATGGGCTCTGACCAGACTGTATGAAAGAGTATCAACAGAGTCAGTGATTCATAGTGATGGCCAAATTATTAATGATGCCATTAGTACAGGTAGCCGCTGCCTCTGTTTACAGTTATATTGAAGTCATCCCTAAAGAAAAAAATGTCCACCACTCTCTGGTACAGGAGGGTAGACATTGCACTGTTGGGAAGAGGCAGTGAACCGTTAGAGCAAGGATTGGAAGGAACTATGGAAACCCTGCAAATAGTGGGAAAGTGGGACATTGGAAGCAGGACGAAAATTGGGGGAGGCAAGAGGATATAGACTGAGGATAGGAAGAGGGGAGCAGGTACAAAGGATTGTGATGGGGTAGTGGTTGCAGGGAAGCAGTTAACAGCTCCTTACTTATGGCAGTAAAAGGGAAGGGGCTTCCACCTCACAGCAACTAGGAGAGGCAATGGTGATGACTCACAAGAGTTACCTGAGAAATCATGGGATTCAGCACCTGTAGGAGGAGTTTCTGTGCAGGAGATGGTACAAGACATTGCTCTTTGCAATGCTAGGCAGGTGGGCGCAGTTCTGGGCAGGAGTTCTACTCCAGACCTAGGAGCAAAGCATCCCTGCTGTCATGTCATTTCTCTTCAACTTGAAATAGGTGGCAAAAAAAGCCCCAGGGCTACAAGGAGTCAGGAAAGAGAGTGTGTTGGGGAAGTGCCACTGGGGTCTCATGGAGAAAAGAAGTCCTGAGCTGTGGGAGAGTAGGACAATGAGTAAAAAAAAAAAATGCTTGATAAATTTACATAATTAGATTTTTTATAATTATTTATTCATATTTCTGTATTTTCCATTCCCTGCCTAAATATGTAATAGTCAGATTGATGCAAACAAGATATATATTTCTAATGTTTCCAATGATGTGGAATATAATCTTTTCCAAAACTAAGTAATGTTTTAAATTTGATTCCTGCACTAATATAGAGCAGCTGTCCTTGGGACAGCATATTACAGTTGTCAGCAAAATGGTAGGTGCTGTAAATCTTACCCATAAAGATCTTGGCAGGCCACATAAACCTTTACTGAACAACTATTGGAAAACTTGATACCTTGGGAGAGGATTCTGTATTTCTTGAAAGTTCATTGCTCCTTTTCTATCTGCATTTGCTCCCCTTACAGGCATTATAAATTGGACTTAACAAAGACAATGGGAGTGTAGAGAATCAAGACAGTAATAGGAAATATAGAATGTTTTTTCATATACTCCAGGAGTGGGGGGCACTTTAAGTAGAGTGACTCTGAGAGCATTCCCTGTATCAGTGTCCCCATGCTTCAAAATGGCTTTAGATAAAGTGCCTTTGCTGCCATTTTGAACTGTGGGGATGCTGATACGCAATATGCAGAGGCTGGCCAGAGCGTGGTTATTACTTGATTAGTTGAGTCTGCTCAATTAGTTGAGTCTGCTCTTACATGCTGTAATTACAGCGCATCAGAGAAGCCTCCCGGCTCATGTATAGGCACCCATAGAGAAGTTTCCTCTTAGGCACAAACAAAGGCTAAGTGGAGGCTCCTACTGAGCCGCCAAGAAGAGAGGTGCATTTGTCTGCATATTATAGATACAGCTTTTGAACCTGTTATCACACCAGCACTAAAGGCCATTTACCTAGGGAAAGGTTGTGTAATATTAATCTCTGGACCCAATAAGTCAGCAGATATTGGCATAGGAGATATTGTAATTATAAATAAATTATTAAAAAGACAAATATAGTGACCTGCATGGAGATTGGAGAAAAGAGGGCAGGGGAAGAAGCACCATACAAGCACATGGCTGGCATCCTTGCTGTCAATTGCAGCTCCTCTGCAAAATGTTCTCTGAACAGAGGTCTTGGCATGTTTGGAGAAGCATGGAGTCCTCTTGTTTCACCACTCAGCATGTCGTGTATGTGATAAAAAAAGATGGTAACCATTCTGGAGTGGGGGCTTGTCCAGAATTCTGACTGCTGTGGGCATCAGATGTACTGAATGAACTTTCTTCAAACACAATTAAACGTGTGTTAAAGGGGTTGGGAGTTGTTTCAGAACTTTGACTGATAGAAGCTCATTGCTTTTAGTTGTGGAAGTTAAAAGAGTTGCCCTGGTTTATGCCAGTAGAGGATCTGGCCCACTGTTCTTAGAGCTAACTTGGAGGTCAAGTGAAAAATTGTAGCTAGTGCTAAGTGCAGCTACTGCCATCTGAGGAAGGTGAGCCACACTGTACTGGCAACACCTGTGCTCAGCTCCCTCATTGGTTTCCTGTTCATATCCCATTGCAATCAAAAGGGTGGGTGATGTTCCTAAAACTGAAAGGGATCAGGAAAGGTAGAAAGAGGTGATGAAATATGGCCACTGTGAAAATGTGAAGGAAATAAAGCCAGGCTTTGGAACAGGAAAGTAAATATGTTGCAATTAGAGGTCTGACTGGTATCTCTCTGCCCTGTCACTCCACCTGTGCCAGGGCCATGTACATAGTTAAAAAATCTCTTGGCTTCTGGGCCAAGCACAAGGTCAGGCAGATTAGATTATTAACCACTATCCAAGGGAAGACTAGAATGGGAGAATTTTGCCTCAACACCAATCTCTCAAAAGATGGGAATTTTGAGAGTACAATGCACTAGGAAAGCTGCTTACCAAAGAGTGAGAATCAGGAATATCTAGAGAACCAGGAAGAATGTTCATTGGGGAATGTCGCTTTTTAATGGTCTTGATATTCCACCAATCAAACTATCCTTTGTTCTGCAATTCTGCTATCTGTTAGCTGCTCCTAAACCTCCTATATAACAGCACTGAAAATTGATTTTAACTCATTCCAGTGAAGTTATATTTGCTGGTTGTTGTTTTTTTAAGAGCTGGGACACTGGGGCTGGGTGGAGCAGCCATGGGGTGGGGCTGGGAGAGCAGGCAGAAGATGGGCGCTTGTGGCAGGGCCCCCCATGCAGTGTGGGGCAGTGAGGAGCAGTGGGGATTGCCCTCCTCCCAGCAGGAACCAGTGAGTGCAAGGCTTTTTTTTTTTTTAAAGAGCACAGATGCTGGGGCCGGGACACCGGGTGGGGGCTAATGGCAGAGCTCCCCATGCAGCATGGGGCAATGGGGGGAAGCAGGGATTGCCCCCC